GGGATATGTGGGATTTGGGATATGTGGGATTTGGCATATGTGGGACTCGGGATATGTGGGATTTGGGATATGTGGGATTCGGGATATGTGGGATTTGAATATATCTAAATGTCCATCTAAGAATACTTAAGAATTTTGAAATAATACTAATGTCACAACCTAAAAATTCCTAAAATGAATATTTCAAGATTTAACGAGTAGCAGATTTATATCAGTGGAACTTTGACTTGCTCCACATATGCCACATCTGTCCGCAACAGTAAAAGGTCTCTAAGTCTACTTTTTGCAATTCCGCAAAACACGAAGCATGAAATTTTGGGCCGTATGGGATGTTCCCGTTGAAAGTCTCACGGTCGCTGATCATCGAGTTGCGTATCAAATATACCAGAAGGATAGTAACAGTATACGAGGAACAGTTATGGGGAAGGTGAGGAGCGTCCATTCACGTTTCACTTGCGGTACAATTCGCGCGCAATCGATCGTCTCGATGGCGATTGGAAAGGCGCGCCTCGATAGATCGATGAAAACCGAGTCTATCGAAATGCTTCCAGACTAATACCATACTTTCTACCATCTAGTCTTAACTTCCTTTAATCATGCTAATTCTGCTATTACCACGATTTATCATGATCTTCGTTCAATACAATGTTCTACTATCTTCTATTAAAATAATATGTTCCTATTAGAGTAACTTGTTTTTAATAAATTATTATGTTACACTGTATGATTATTATGTTACAATTTACGCATATAATTATTAATGATGAGAATATTTTTATTATAATTATTGATTAATTTGTGAGAGGACTAAGGACTGCTTATAGCATTTTTAAGAAATATTAACTTAAACACTGTGCAAAATAAAATATAACCAATAATGACAGACATTAATTGTTAATAAAAATAATAATAAATAAGAGCTGCATTTTTAATGGCATTTTTAAAAAATATGAATTATTTGATAATCAACAAAAATTTTAATTTTAAAAATATGAATTCTGTATGAACATACAAAATTATTTTATAAATTATTTTTATATATAAATGTAAAAATGTAAGTTCTATAGTCCCTCCACTAAAATGTCCACTTACTAATAACAGAAGTGAATTAATAATTAATAAGAATTTGAACAATTTTAATCTGCAGTATTTTTGAAATATGTGACTTCACAAAAGTAATTGAAATCGATTTTGAAGTGGAGTGACAATGGCGGCCAGAGCTACAAGAAGCTAATTCGATGACGATTCAGCACATGAAATCGTGGAATTCGAACGACTGGCCGATTCTGTGCCGGATCGTTTCACGAAACAGGAACACCTGGCTGGAGATCGCTCGATTATTAACGAAAGGAAGGCGTTGCGGTAAAAGGAAGTAGCAAGCGGCGAAATAGATGCCTGAAGAAGAAGGCTAACCCGCTCTTTTCCGACCGAACTTCCTAAACGAGCATGCAAGCGCATCATTTTGACCGGGTGAAATAATCGTATACTGCCTTAAGCGACGTTCACGCCGTGAATTTATTGCTCTCGAAACTATATGTTCCTTTGACGTGGATATCAAATGTAATTTTGCAGGAATGCAGCCTAGAATTCATGCGTTCAGTGCACTACTGTATGCGGATTTTCTAAGCAAAAATTAGGTAATCGGTATCTGACGTTGGTAAAATGTCTTCGTATCTTTCGTTTTAATCGTACAGGAGAAATTAAAGTTGTGACAGGTAAATGTCAACATTTGAGGTGTGTGTAATAACATTTATGTATAAATGTCTCCACATATGAGCTGTATGTAATAACATTTAAGTGTATGTGGAACATGTCTCCACATGTGACGTGTATGTGGTAACATTTAACTGTACACATGTCTCCACATATGACATATATGTGATAACATTTACTTTGTATGTGGAACATGTCTCCACATGTGACGTGTATGTGATAACATTTAACTGTACACATGTCTCCACATATGACATATATGTGACAACATTTAAGTGTATGTGGAACATGTCTCCACATGTGACGTGTATGTGATAACATTTAACTGTATACGTGTCTCCACATACGACGTATATGTGACAACATTTAAGTGTATGTGGGACATGTCTCCACATATGAAGTGTATGTGGTAACATTTAACTGTATGTACGTCTCCACATATGACATGTATATGATAACATTTGAGCGTATGTGAAAAATGCCTCCACATATGAGTTATTTTAATCAACCTCTGAATGAACCTAACCTTCAATATAAAATATTTAATTATCGACAGAATAATTACAAGATCAGGTCAACACTCAACCAGTCAATTTTACCAAAAAATGAATAAATGAATAGTTCATTCAGTAATCAAGATCCTCCTCATTTCCCCAGAATATTAAAACTGGAAATTGCAGAACGATTTATGGTGACACGATAATGGTATGTAAATCGGTCTCCTGAAAGCAAGAAAACCAACGAAAGACGTGAATCATTCATTCAATAATTGAGTCATGATTTACGAGACTGTCAATCAGGTCACAGCTCGCGATCGTCATTTTTCCGCTTTGAATTTTTGTTCTGGTTCGTCAATGACTGCGTCGTATTACACATTCGAGACGGTGAACGTAATTGCGCGTTAGCCTATTTCTGCTTCGAAAATTCCGACAAATCTTCGAGAAAGTTACTATGTAGTTTGGTGGCTGAGTTTCTTGTTTTGCTCGATGATGCTCGGAGAGAAGACGCGAAAAATTGCGAGAGCGTGTCTGATCAATGTATCTCGTTCTACTGTGCCTTGTAGTGTCACTATTTATTCGTTTAGGTAATTGAGGAAGTTTAAATGGTTCTTGGAATCAATAGAATTTTTAATAGTATTAATTAAATGGTGGAGCATTTTTAGATTATGTATTATAGTTTTAGAGATACGAAAATATGAGGCGAAAGACGTATTGAAAAATGGTATTAAAATGTTCAATATAGGATTGAATATATGTGTAATAAATTTCTGATTTCTTGTCATTTTTATGGGAAATAATAATTCTTGACGTGCGTTGTTATCGACGTGCGTTATTATTGACGTGCGTTGTTATTGACGTGCGTTACTAATGACGCACGTTGTTATTGACGTGCGTTACTAACGGCGTACGTTGTTATTGTCGTGCGTTTTTATTGATGCAGGTTGTTACTGACTCGCGTTACTAATGACGTGCGTCGTTATTGACGTACGTCGTTATTGACGTGCGTTGTTGTTGACGTGCGTTGTTATTGACGTGCGTCACTAATGACGTATGTTACTAATGACGTGCGTTGTTATTGACGTGCGTTACTAATGACATGTGTTGTTATTGACGTTCGTTATTATTGCTTGAATCCTTCGCCATTATCACAAAGCATCAATTACTATATTACACCTCCCTATATCACACCGTGTCCCATACTACATCGCCACTTACTATATTGCAATTCTTACATCACCGTCAATAACATCAGAAGAATAATATTTTAAATAATATCAAAAATCTTGCTCTTCAAAAATGATGTGTATTGTCAATTTTAAGATTGCCAGCGATACACCGAGCGTCTACATTCTAGCATAGAAAATTGAGGCGTTACAGGTGTTGCCTATCCAGGTGTTTATAAACGGACTCATTTCCGTGCTAATATGTTCGCGTTATCGAGGCGTGGGTCCGGTGAAACGCGAAAAAACCGGAGTGCTTCGACATCAGCCGATCCCGATTACTGCCCGAGTGGCTGCGTAGACCTCGTTAATTCGAGAACGAGCATCCGTTATGCGCTCAAAATGCATCCTGCGCGTTCATACTTTCGTATTCTTTTCAGGGTCAATACGATAGCTATACGAGATCTACGTCTTATCTACGTCATTTCATATCGAAAGCTTATGCTAAATTGTTGAGAAAGGTTCCAAGAATCATTGAAAAATGGAGAACTTCAAAACCTATTTCACACTTTACTGTGAGTGAATTGAGTCAGATCATTAACAAATGAAGTTAGATCACTAATAAGCTATATATAAGAAGACTAGGATGAAATGTATTAATTTTGAAGAGGTCCCAAAAGTCCTATCAAAACAGTAGGTCTTATTAAAGCTTCCAGATATGAAAAGCCTGAAATAAATCTACCAATGGTCCTCTTCAAGATCAATCTATTCGAAAATTCCCTACATCCGAAGTACCTGAAAAGCCCTAATTTCCGCAAGTGTCATGAGATCCGGAGACCTCAACATCGTTCGAGTAGCAAGCGACTCTTGACGGTGCTGTCCTCTCGAGCACGTATATACCCGAGGTTCCTGCCCTCTCCATGCTCAAGGTTCGTTCACAAACGATACCGTTACTCGCCGTCTGGAGGGGGCAGAAGAGCAGGTGGGAGTCCACGTGCAGGCAATGACCCACTGACCTTGATCCTGAAGAAGCCACGAGTGGGAAACAGGATCGACCAATCCCCGGCGAGACCGGTTTACCCACCTTTCTCGTCACAGTGACCTCGTTTCCTTCCTCTTCCTATTCTCCCACCTGTTAAATCCCCCCACCTCGCTGCATTCTCTGCGTCGCCTTCTATTTAGGTCGTTAGCCTCCTCCGACTAACCTGCTTACTCGTCATTATAGATTTCCAATTATTTCGTTGTTTTCGACACGGCGTGATCGGAGAGGAAAGTGATCGATGATCGATTTTTGGGGTGGACATTTATGGACATTTTTTTGTGGGATTAGGTCTGGCAAGATTTACTGTAGGTTTTACTGTTTACTCGTAATTAAATTTAGAAAGAAGATGAAGGTAAACTTTTTTAAATTGTAAGATATTGAAACAAGTACACGATAAATATTAAAATAAATATATCATGTGTACAAATATCGAAACCCTTCTTCCACAAACAAGAACCAGACATCTCTCAAAAAATTTCAAATAACCTAACTTTTTAACTTACCTCTCAAGTCTAACTTACCTCAACTATCAATCCTCTAACTCACCCTCAAACAACGTTCCTTCCCATCACTATCACCCTCTTATGAAGGTTCAAATAAAAACGCATCTCATACAAAAGAACACTGATGATTTATTGAATAAGCAGGGGTGACAATAAATAGAATGAGATTATGAGGTGAACGAATGATCAAAAAAATTTAAGGGATGTCCTGGAAGGGGTACTGTTCAGGAGCAAATTCAGGAGCCCAACCCCTGTAAGGTTGATTAACTTCTTCCTGCGACCTGTGCCAGTGTTCGTGATGGATATCAGGCTTCACAACCCCGTAAGTGACTCTGGCTGGGGGTGGCGGTGGTGGCGTTAACAGTGCTTTCAGAGCCACTGCTCCGGAGAGGAGGAGGGACAGCAGCCCTGCACCGAGACCCTTGATGCCTATCAGACCGATTAGGGTGATTACGATCGGCAAAACGATCATTGCCTTCAGTTTCAGGGCCAGGAGGAGTGGTAGCATTATCTTCTTTAATTTGGTTCTTGCTGAAATGAAAAATGGGGTGTAGTGATATTTTCTTTAATAAAATAATTTAATAAAAATTTTGTTAAACCTTGCATAGTTCGTCCTTACATAGAAGTACCTTCATAACCTAACCTCTAATACAACCAATGTATGTATCACTAAATGATATTTTTTGAACAATGTTCATGTGAGTTTAGGTTCATAGTGAAACTCAGTAGAGAATTTATAGATAATTTTGTTTCTGAATTTTATTAAACCTGGCACAGTTTTGATTTTCATAGATGTAGCTGAAGTATAGGAACACTGACAACATAACCTTTAACATACCTAATGTACTCATCACTAAATGATGTTTTTCAAATAATGTTTATTTTAGGTTAGGTTCAGACTATAATTCAATAGATAATTTTGTTCCTGGATTTTATTAAACCTTGCACAGTTTTGATCTTCATATAAGTAGGTGTCATATAGAACCACCTTGGTAACCTAACTTCTAATATAAGTAATGTATGTATAACTAAATGATATTTTTTAAACAATATTCATGTGAGTTCAGGTTTATAGCAAAACTCAGTAGAGAATCTATAGACAAATTTGTTTCTAGATTTTATTGAACCTTGCACAGCTTTGAGCTTCATAAAACTGTGTAAAATATGGGAGCACTTTGATAACATAACCTCTAACATAACCAATGTACTCATCACTAAATGATATTTTTTAAACAACGTTCATGTGAGTTCAGGTTTATAGCAAAACTCAGTAAAGAATCTATAGACAAATTTGTTTCTAGATTTTATTGAACCTTGCACAGTTTTGATCTTCATAAAATTGTGTAAAATATGGGAGCACTTTGATAACATAACCAATGTACTCATCACTAAATGATATTTTTCAAACAATGTTTATTTTAGGTTAGGTTCAGACTATACTTCAATAGATAACCTATAGATAATTTTAATCCTGGATTTTATTAAACCTTGCACAGTTTTAATTTTGAGAGAGATAGTTGAAATATAGGAACACCTTGATAACATAACCTTTAATATACCTAATGTGCTTGTATCTCTAAATGATATTTTGCAAGCAGTGTTTATTTTAGGTTATGTTTGGATCTTCATAGAAGTAGATAACTACTCTTATTGTAACATAACCTCCAATATATCTAATGTACTCATCATATTTAAATGATCATTATCACATATGTACAACATAGCAATGTGAACATCCAACTCGAACACATACTATAAATACAACTAACTTCCTATCAATAATTATCACTAGAAAATAAAGTATGAAATGATCTCCCAATAAAGTAAGGTTAGTTCTGAATTTATCAGCCTCTCCTAAATACATCCGAAATAATACATAATTCTGTACAGTAGGGTTCCGAGGGTTGAACCAAGTGAAACTCAGAAGGGTAACTTAAGGAAGGGGTATCTAACGACCACTTATCGCAAGCATCTACTTTCTTCGACATGTGGCACTCTCGTTCAAGGTCCCCGGTGGTCTCGCGCGTCCCAGAAACCCGGAATCCCAACAACGACCCACATAACAGAACCCCTCCTCCAACGTTGTTTTCGCGGATGCGTTGCAAGTGGGACGTCTTGGCTTTCTCGGAGTCTCTTCGTTCGGGGAGAACGAGAAAAAATCCGGAGGAAGTTTACCGAAAAGAGGCCAAGGGAAAGAGTGGTGCCAGTTCGCTGGCGAAGCCAATCGCATCCCGCGTTACCGGAAGTCCTACATTTTGCCCAATCGTTTCGCGAGCTGTTGGCTTACTTTCGTGGTATTGGAGAGACTTTAGAAAGGCGAGGTACTATAAGTTCGTGCCCGTGGACCGAGCCATTCACAACCGGCTCCGGGCATCGAGCGGCTGCTTCGAGAAAGCTTAGAATTGAGAAACAATTTAGTATTCGGAAAATTGAGAGAATTCATGTAGGTTATGGGTGAAGATGGGACTTTGTAGAAAGTTCTTTACAGCTGCTTTAGAATGCATTATTTTTTCAGTTGGAAGAGAAAGGGAGTTTTAACGATTATGGTATTTCCTATCTTTTTGATGCAAATGCGAGAATTGTGAATCTTGATGTTCGATGTGTGAGAAATTTTCTTCTCGTTTTTAATGAAGACAATGAGAAACACAGATAATGATGCATTATAGTTAGTAATAAATGCAAAGTTTCATATTAGATGTAGCAGAATGTATGTTGTTTTAATCTTGAATCTAGTGAAACACTATGTTGAAAAATTATATTAAATTACATAACAAACTATGATATAACTCTAAGAAGATTATTCTCAGTCAATTTCTAATTAGTTCAATTTGATGTAAACATAATGTCAATAACACAGGATTAAAGCTACAAGTGATCATTCAAATTGCTATGTCTTTAATATTTTCTTTCATGTATTATACTTCATATTGGTCATCCATATTCGCAATAAAAATAATCATTTTTAACATTCAGAATAGATCTTCAAAAATAAAATTCTGACCTCATGTCAAAACTTGAAATAATTTGTTTGTACTCAATGTTTGCTCAAATCTGTCACTACTAATGTGAGAATTAATCGAAATGTATGATCACTATTATTTTTCGTATATTTCAACTGTACGAAAGCTTGAGGAGTTCAAAACAACCCCATAAGTGTGTCTAACCCTTTATTGTGACTGTAGGAGGATGTGAACTTAACCTAATCTCAAGGTTAACCTAATCTTAAAAGTTCAAATAGAGCAAAATCAAAAAGATCTCACTCTAATAATTTTTGATCTAATACACTATATCCAAAACCCTCAAATCGACTAAAAATTCACAAATCATAATCAAAACTGTGACATACCCCATCACATCAACCCCATTACACCAATTCCATCACGTCAACCCCATTACATCAAATCCCAATAACATCAAACCCAAAAATAAAAATCTCCAAAAGACTCTCACCTTCAGAAGCTCCAGTAGTCAGCCCCCTAAGTTCAACCCCGACGTCCTTCTGCCCCAAAGCTCTTCCAAACATATCAGCCGACGAACCATCACTCGGTAAATGCAGCTGAATCCTCCTGGTCCTGAAGAATTGTTCAATCTTGCCCACAAGAGGATCCTGGCTCGATCTAGCAGCCTCCTCCTCAACGTGTACTTTCTCCAGGGTGATCATGTCACCGTAAATCTTGATGTTGTCCATTCGATTCAGATTATCCATCGCCCTGCCCAACTTGTTCTCCATCTGGTCCAAGCTGTCCTCCGCAACGACGTAAGACAACGTCAAGGCTAAAACGATCAGCAACTTCTTCATGGTGATCAATCGGTATCGACAAAGATTTTGACTGTTCGCCCTGGGGCAATTTTTCTTTTATACGACGGCTTGATCGATGGTGGGGCCACTTTGAACCATTTGGCAAGCGGCGTGCAAGCACCGCGGTGTCAGGAATTTTAATTTTCGAGACCTAGTCTCGTGACGTAGCGTCTGCCTAATAGAAATTTTCCTTTTACACGGGATCACTTTCGAACGATTTTCCCTGGTGATCTTGGGTTCGATGAAAGTGGAATTTGGGGAGTTTTGGCGGTGGGTTTTCAAGGTTTATGGTGGTACAATTTTTGGGTATTTGTTTGTGGATGAAAGGTAAATGATGATCGAACACAAGACTCTAATGTTTTTTGACATTTTTAATGTTTGCAATGTTTCTAATATTGTGTTTCAAATAATTAACGTTCCTAACCTAACTAATAATGACTCTGTTATTTTTAACCTAACCTAACTAATAATCACTCTGTTATTTTTAACCAAACCTAACTAATAATCACTCTGTTACTTTTAATCTAACTTAACTAATAATTACTCTGTTATTTTTTAATCTAACCTAACTAATAATCACTCTGTTATTTTTAACCAAACCTAACTAATAATTACTCTGTTATTTTTCAATCTAACCTAACTAATAATCACTCTGTTATTTTTAACCTAACCCAACTAATAATTACTCTGTTATTTTTAAACCTAACCTAACTAATAATTGCTCCCTTATTTTTAACCTAACCTAACTAATAATTACTCTGTTATTGTTTAACCTAACCTACCTAATATTTCTCCCTTATTTTTAACCTAACCTAACTAACAATTCCTCTGTTAGTTTTAACCTAACATAATAATTGCTCTGTCATTTCTAACCTAACCACATCATAAACGCTTTCAAAAGACCATCTTCTCTCGTTTCTGTCGCAAATCATATTTGCAAGACAATTCTGGTAATAAGTTTCTGGTGAAAATTAGATTTCCGTGTCTGTTCGCGTGACACGGAACGGCATGCAAAACCGGCGTGTCCCGAATGTTGCTGATCGGAAACGAGAGAAACGGAACGTGCAACGGGCACGGGACAAAGACGAGCGAACAGCGTGGAAAGAAAGGAAAGGTAAGGGAAGGAGAATGCGTGAAAAGAGGGTACAATGGCGGTGGGAGTGCAAACGAAACGTAAGGTATGCCCGCATCCGATCGGAATCGCATATGAGCCTTCGATTGTCGTCGCGCCACGATAAAACATGATATTTCACGTTGGCTCAAACTAATCACGTATTTACCGAGCGTTTTCTATGCACCTTCGAGCCTCCGACGAATAATGAATAATCTCTTTCGAAGTAGAAATCGTGCTTTCGACGAGGTGTCCATACTCATCTTAGGTAAAAAAGAAACTTCAAAGGAAAGGATCGACACTTACTTCTTACGTTAGAAAAATTTACTTTCAACTTCAAGTTTAGGTTGGGAGAAATTCTTTTTTAGGTTTATGAGTTGGTAGGAGTTTTCAATTTAGAATTGTGGGAAATAATTTATTTTGATATCTTAAGGGTGGTGAGGCGTTGGATTTTAATTCGTGGCGATATAACGCGAGGGAATTCTAACGCGTAGAGATACAGCGCGCAGTGACTCAATGGGTAGAATTCTAACACGTGGCGATATAACGCGTGGAATTTTAATACGCGGCAATATAACGCGAGGGAATTCTAACGCGTGGAGATACAGCGCGCAGTGACACAATGCGTAGAATTCCAACGCATGGCGATATAACGCGTGGAATTTTAATACGCGGCGATATAACGCGAGGGAATTCTAACGCGTGGAGATACAGCACGCAGTGACACAATGCGTAGAATTCCAACGCATGGCGATATAACGCGTGGAATTTTAATACGCGGCGATATAACGCGAGGGAATTCTAACGCGTGGAGATACAGCGCGCAGTGACTCAATGCCTGGAATTTTAATACGCGGCGATATAACGCGAGGGAATTCTAACGCGTGGAGATACAGCACGCAGTGACACAATGCGTAGAATTCCAACGCATGGCGATATAACGCGTGGAATTTTAATACGCGGCGATATAACGCGTGGGAATTTTAACGCGTGGGAATTCTAACGCGTGGAGATACAGCGCGCAGTGACTCCACGCATAGAATGCCAACGCATGGCGATATAACACGTGGAATTTTAATACACGGCGATATAACGCGAGGGAGTTCCAACGCGTGGAGATACAGCGCGCAGTGACTCCACGCGTAGAATTCTAATGCGTCGCACTTTAACACGTAGAGTTCCAACACATGGCAATATAACGCGTGGAAATTCAGCACGTGGCGATATAACGCGAGTGGCCCGGCGCATCGAAAACTGAAATGCGTAGAATTCTAAAGCGTGGCGATACAACGCGAGTGATTCATCGCGTACAGAATTCTAATGCATAGAATTCTAACGCGTGGCGAAATAACGCGAGGTGACAACTCGTCTAATTCCAAAGCATAAACTCTCAAACTCACCCCAATATTTGATACTATTTTCAATATTCCACAACCAATAAATAACTCTCTCGCAAATTCATTATAAATAATTTATTAATTCACATGAGCAAATAATTTAAGTCGATAAATAAATACAAATTCAACAGTCGAAATCACCACGATACCAAGATGTCCATTACAACAAAGTGGCTCAATTGGCTACATTGGAAGCGATAGGTGCTTGAGCAGCGTACGCCAACGTATGAGCATCGGCTTTCGCGTTCTGATCGTCGAAACTCCTCTTGTAGTAGCCCTGAGGTTGAACGGAGTTGGCGACACCGGCTGACCAGCCTTGATTGGAGTTGTCCAACCACGTTGGTTGATTATTTTTGCTGAAGAAGTTGCCGACTCCGGAACTGCTGCCGTTGCCGAACAACCTCTGGAAAGCCAGGACACCGGCTACGAGAAGGGCTATCTTCCCGACGAACAGGGCTTTCAGTACTAGAAGACTTAGGCTTCCGAGGATGATTGGTACTAGGGCGAATAGTTTTACTGCGGCTGCTGCGATTAGGGGTAGCGCCATTTTCTTGATCTTGGCACGACCTTGAAGTTAAGGTTGAGATTAGGGAGGAAAATTATATTTAGCTAGAATTTTGGAAAATTATGTTTAGCTAGAATTTATTTGAGGACAAGTAGGATACAATTAGACCTGTATGTGGAGATGTGGATGAGACTTTAGAATCCACAGTTACGTTTAGTTAGGTTGGATTAGGTTGAGTTATAGTTGGGATCAATTATACATTGCAATAAGTGGGATACAACCATATGTGGATGTGAAGATGTGGAGACTTCAAGGAACATATCTAGTTCCTGCTCAAAAATATTATTAGTATTTCAGAAATTGATTGATACAACCAGTTGAAGAATTATTTGAAGAACTATCAGATAATAGTTTTGAATAGGAATTACTGGAAATATTTGACTCCCTAATACTAATCCTCTAATCACAAGCCGATCAATCTACTTGAAAATCGTGAGAATTCCTGACCCCATAAAACCCCGTCCTCTAAAGAATTTAGGACAGTACTGAATATCTAATTGCAACCAAATTCCAACGTTTCATAATTCAACCTCCGCCAAATAAAATTCCAAAGCGTACAGACATAAAACTAATCACATATGAGACTATTAGGGTCCACATCCTTAGTACCGCTACCGAGAAATAGCACAATCTCAAGTACAATTTGAGAAGGAAAGCGAATGCTGAACGAGGAACGAGTTTATCCGGAACAGGTTGGATATCATGAAGGTGAAAGGCTTGAACAGTTTATTCGTTCATACCGGTGACTCGGAGGGTGGGAACGATTACGTAACTGATGCTTCTATCATAGAGTATAGAAAGTTACCTTCGTCGAGAGCACGAGAAATTGATCCCTCTTCGGGCATGCTCAACTTCAGACTATGACTCTTCAAGAAGGACATTGCTGACTCGAATAACATTCCGACCAGCTTGATGGCACGTTCTGATGTGTCTCTAGGTAGTTCGTTCATTAGGTCCACTTCTGTCTTCAAATCTTTTCCGGTGCGTTCCACTGAAAAAGTTTGAGGCATCAGGTTTTTGGTTTCAGGTTTGGTAGGTTTGTTCTCTGAATTTCACCGAGTATTTCATATTTGATATTATCGTAGTTGATATTGAGTTGAACACAGGGTTTGAGGTTGTGGAAAGATAGATGGACAAGTGATGAAGACTTGAGGTTTGCATTTTGTGAAGTTAAGATGTACTAGTCAGTTGTGATAGTTTGATGATACTGAATGGTCAATCTCAACCTTGATCTATTATTAGAAGGACATGTGTGAGGCACCTTTAACCTTATGATGATTAAGACATCATAGTCAAACAAGTCACATATGTACACCTATCATAAATGGACTATAACATCTATCACAACTGGACCATGACAGAAAGTTAAAAATCTCATAACAATATTTGAGTTTGACTAGGTCCATCCACATATGACATAGATCATCCTGATCAGAGTAACAAGTCCTATTAGCAATCTCTTTGCAACCAAACCATAGATGAATTCATATCACATGAATGCCATAAAGATAAGTTTGACTAGGTCCATCCACATGTGACATGGATCATCCTGATCAGAGTAACAAGTCCTATTAGCAATCTCTTTGCAACCAAACTATAAATGAATTCATATCACATGTATGCCATAAAGATACGTTTGACTAGGTCCATCCACATGTGACATGAATCATCCTCATCAGAGTAACAAGTCCTATTAGCAATCTCTTTGCAAGCAAATCATAGAGGAATTCATGTCACATGAATGCCACAAAGATACGTTGACTAGGTCCATCCACATATGACATGAATAATCCTGATCAGAGTAACAAGTCCTATTAGCAATCTCTTTGCAAGCAAATCATAGATGAATTCATGTCACATAAATGTCACAAAGATGGGGCTAATGATCATAGTAGTCGAGGCCCTTATAAAATTAATCAATCAATGGCACAAAGATAAGTTTGACTAGCTCAATCCACATATGACATGGATCATCTTGATCAGAGTAACAAGTCCAACCAACAATTTCTTTGGAACCAAACCATAAATGAATTCATGTCACATGAATGCAACAAAGATAAATTTGGCTAAGTCAATCCACATATGACATGGATCACCCTAATCAGAGTTACAAGTCCAACCAACAATTTCTTTGGAACCAAATCATAGATGAATTCATGTCACATGAACGTGACAAAAATGATACGTTTGACTAGCTCAATCCACATATGACATGAATCATCCTGATCAGAGTAACAAGTCCAACGAACAATTTGCAACGAAATCATAAATGAATTCATGTCACAAAGATGAATGAATATCACAAAGTGCACCAAAGATAGCACCAAAGTCCAACTCACTCGGTGTCTCCCGTACAAACTTCACACCATCAACGATGTCGATATCGCTGGACCTGGCAGCTCTATCCAACGTGCTGATGGTCTTCACGAACATGCAGCTGAACAAGGCGTTCTCTTGCTCCATGCAATCGAGATTCCTGTCCATTTGTCCATCGGTGTCCGGCATGGGCACAGCCATCGCAGACGCGATAAGTCCCAGAATCACCAACTTGTTCATCTTAGTCGCACTCACACGTAAACTACGTCCTTCGGAAAATTTTCGGAGGTAAGTGTGACCTGACCCTCCGTAGCTTCTATCTTTATAGGTGTGGAGACCCTCCCCAATATCCCCACTCGAACCGATGTGTGACGACAAACGGCCAACGCACGCCGTCATCGTCCACCTCCTTCGGGACGGAAACTTTCTTCGATAATTTTTTAAACAAACGACTCTTCCGTTTGCTTGACAACGCCTTTGGAATCCTTTGTTTTGGAGGTGGCGAAATTTGGGTCAGGGGAGCTTAGATGACACACTCTTGGGATGACCACGTTGGTCGAGCGTGTTGTAATGGGGACAGTTCTGAAGACTTAATAGTTCTTGTAGTAATAAAATACTGGGTTCGTAAGGGATGACCCCCTCTGAAAGACTATTCAATCAGCAATAATAGTACCATTTTGAATTAATTTAAAATTAAACAGTAATCAAGTAATTTTTGTAATAAATACATGTAATAGAGATACTTCTGAGGAAGTATCTTAACAGATTTCAAAATGGAGACAGTTGGACCAATCTGAATTTTCAGTCATCTCCATAATAGATACTGTGAACTTGAAGCAAATCTTTCTATGACCCGCGAATTTCTAAGCAAACAACTTTCGTGGGTTTCAATTGACTCAGGCAATTACCAAGAAAAAGTGTACACATCCTCAAGATTTCCCAATGGCCATCGTTTTCATTTTCACGTTCAAGTGAGAAGTCTGAACAAGTGAACTTCCAAATCTTAATATGAAATTAAAGAAAGTAGATCTTGAAACAAGTGTCTCGATGAGGCTGTAACAGTAGTCATATCATTAAACGCTACAAATGTATTTTAATTTATTAAGTATTACGTATAATGTAATATAAATGTGTTAGGTGCAATATAAATGTGTTAGGTACAATATAAATATGTTAGGTAAAATATAAATGTGGATGACTGTAACGAGAACGTTTCTCTGATTCATCTTCCAGGAAAGAATTCGAGACCTAGAATTTATGTGGACTCCGGTATTGAAACTGTGATGATCAAAATGGCGTCCTAGGATGAGATCGATGCATTTAGGCCCCACGTGCACATGGGCTGCTCACCTTGACCCACCAACGGTTCTGACAGATTACATCGTCGGGTTATAATAGTCAACTGATATAATAGTCCAAACAGTTTCCCTTTTGTCTCACAAAAGTAATTATACACGATCGTTACTGACATCTTCATTGATGGAGACATGCTATGTCAGCATTGGTTATTGAATCATTGAATGTGTTTACATCTGATGTCTTCATATATTCTTAAGTTCAATTGAGCTGCTTTGGTTCATAACTCTTCAGATTTAACACTAAACCTACCGGCATATAATGTGTATTTAATTTGTTTATTTTTGAACTTCATTTTTAATTTCAAACAAACGATGGAACATGAATTAGTACACACATTTATTCTTTATCTTGATGAAAATCAATTGTGATTTCAAGAAATGTATTTTAACAAAATGTGTACCTTATAATAAGAAACTTGTGGAAGATAACCTAACCTAAACTTACCTTTTAGTGTTAAGATAACCTAACCTAAACTTACCTTCACAAATAAGAAAAAGTGGATTATGACCTAACGCTCCAAAAACGTTTCAATTAAGACATGAAAAGAATGCTTAAAATTCGGCAATCGTGAAAAGTAGCTCAGGTATTGAACAATGAACAATGCGTCTCCCATTGGGGTTTTGGCGACAGCCATATTCGCGAGTGTCGCATTGTCTCGCGGCTCTTTAAATATTTAACAGTCTCGAAACTTCGTCATCTTCGCGTTAACGGTATCTGCCACGGATTTTCGCGATTACTTTTCTAGGTTAGGTTCGATCGAGGAAGAAGAATAGAAAAGAACGAAGAGAGAAGAATACAAAGGGACGAAAGAGAGGGAAGCTGAACCACAGAGTAAACTAGAGGCGATCTGTCGGTGCCTTTGATCTCTCGTCTGGCGGGAAATTTAAATCGAACAAATCTACTTTCATGTCAATCTCTAATAATTTGAAAATTATTCACTGCTTTCGATGATTTAATTTTATGTTGCCTTCAAATTACTTTCATTGTTCACTCTTTTTACAATATATTTCATATATTACACAATATAATATAAATATAGGAATTTTATAAATTAGAAAATATTTAAAGATATGTGTCAAAGAATTCTCTTTATTATAACAACATGAAAATCCATAGAAAAATTGAAATCAATAGCCCGTCCTATTTAACACCATTCCACGCTTATCTTTATGTTCGTACCTGTCGAAGTTTCTCTGTACTGCTTTCTTCACATTATTTCCTTTGAAACGTCGCTTCTGGAAACCCTGTTCTATAATTTCTCTTCAACCATTTCTTTGTAACCTCAACGAGAATCTTTTAACTCTTTTCTAATAAAACACCGTTAGACCAATACTGTTCAGATTACAAATGTTCATTGCCTACTGTAACTACTTAGAAAATGAGGGTGATCCGAAAACACTTTCTACGGTCTGCTTCGTTTCTTGTTTACCCGTTTCGTGTAACAAAGCACTTAGCGGGTCCCGTTGCTAATTCGACACACCGAGTTTCGCTACGGAAGTATTACTTTGGAGTTCAAGTTTCTTCGAATGGTATTGTGACAATATTTGATCGCTTGATTTACGAGCGAGCTTACTTTCTTTGTTCGTGTAAACGAAATTAATTCGCTCGTAAAAGTGACCGGTGTAATTTGTAAGATTTGTGTGTTAATCAGTGGGATTTTGGATGGTGTGATTTTACGAGTGTTATTCATTAATAGGAAAATTTGAGAAGTCATGATTTTATGAGAACAGTAAATTGTCATTTATGACAAGGTTGTTATGATTGTATATATATTGTTAATAAATGTTACAATTTTATAAGATGTCGTGATTGTATGAGTAATATTATTGAATAGTTTGGAGTTCAAGTTTCTTCGAATGGTATTGTGACAATATTTGATCGCTTGATTTACGAGCGAGCTTACTTTCTTTGTTCGTGTAAACGAAATTAATTCGCTCGTAAAAGTGACCGGTGTAATTTGTAAGATTTGTGTGTTAATCAGTGGGATTTTGGATGGTGTGATTTTACGAGTGTTATTCATTAATAGGAAAATTTGAGAAGTCATGATTTTATGAGAACAGTAAATTGTCATTTATGACAAGGTTGTCATAATTGTATATATATTATTAATAAATGTCACAATTTTACAAAAATGTCATAACTCTATGAGTTCTATTATTGAACAGAAAAATTTGATAAGATGTCATGATTTTATGAAAACAATAAATAAATGTCACAATTTGACATGGTTGTCATAATTGTATATACATTATTAATAAATGTTACAATTTTGCAAGATGTCATGAGTCTATGAGTAATATTATTCAATAGTAAAATATGACAAGATGTCATGATTTTATGAGAACAATAAATAAATTGTCATTTATGACAAGGTTGTCATAATTGTATATATATTATTAATAAATGTTACATTTTTACAAGAACGTCATGACTCTATGAGTAATATTATTGAATAATAAAATTTGATAAGATGTCATGATTTTATGAGAACAATAAATAAATTGTCATTTATGACAAGGTTGTCATAATTGTATATATATTATTAATAAATGTTACAATTTTGCAAGATGTCATGAGTCTATGAGTAATGTTATTGAATAGTAAAATTTAACAAGATGTCATGACTCTATGAATTCTATTATTAAACAATAAAATTTGACAATATATCATAATTTTATGACTGCAATAAATAAATCTCTTAATTTTACAAAGCTGTCATGACTGCACAAGTACTATTAATAAACATCAAACATTGACAAATTTATCACAAGTATATAATTATTATAAAATGATATAAGTATTAATAACCAATAAAACCCTACAAGGTAACAATGAAAAGGACAAGGTAAATAATTCACACATAATTGTCTACTAACATTTATTTCCTCCTACGTCGTTCTCTATAATATTTGTAAGGCTCCGACTCATCCGCCATTTCAAAGACGTCGTGTCTCTTGTATTTATTCATTGGTAAATTTACCACCTCGTAGCCACTTGCCGAATGACTTTGAGCCACTTTCTTCAAACCCACAATGGCTGCTAGTATGAGGCTCATCAGACTCAAAACCACTGCTTTTCCACTGAGAATTGCTAGGGTCTTCAGTGCGATGGGCAGCAGAATCGATTTTATTAGCATAAATCCGACGATTAGGGGGATGAGGTATTTGTTCAGCTTGTGCTTCTTTTTCTTTCGGGCTGCAAATTGTATATTTTATTATTGCGATTTTGTGTTTAATAAATTTGTTAGAATATTTGTTAATAGGAAATTTTGAAATTTCTGAAAATTTTGTTAGGTTCTATTTATTTTTATTTAGTTTAGGATAATTTAAGTTAGTAACAAATTTCTACTTTATCCTTTAATTTTGTGAGGTTATGTGTAGCATTTAATTTCAGAGGTTAGGTCTAGCATTTAATTTTATGAAGTTAAGTTTAGCATTTAATTTTGTGAGGTTATGTCTAGCTTTTAATTGTGTGAGGTTATGTCTAGAATTTAATTTAGTGAAGTTAGGTCTGGAATTTAATTTTGTGAGGTTATGTCTAGAATTTAATTTAGTAAAGTTATGTCTAGAATTTAATTTAGTAAAGTTAGGTCTAGAATTTAATTTTGTGAAGTTAACTCTAGCATTTAATTTATTGAAATTACTTTTACCATAAACTTGTCATTAAACATAAATAAAAAATAATTTACCATATTCACTTAAATACTAATAAAATTAAAAACGTAAAAATATACATTTCCTATCCAACAATCAAAATTAACGATCAAGTAATTAGCACTATCAAATGTTTAACACCACACCAAATAACTAAATCCTATGAATTAAAGATGCCACCATAAATCACAAAGTAGAATGCAAAATTCGAAAGTTGATAATATAAAACAATTAAGAAGAGTTATAATATAAAATGATTATAAACCTTCCGGTTTTGTTTACGTGGAAGAAGGAAATGCTTGTTAGTCAGCTTTACGAAATGAACAGGGTAATAGAATGAACTGGAGTGGAAAGGACTTATGGTTTTTGTGCTGGTCAACCACGTGCCGTGAACGGATGATGATACGTATTACATGTTGCTAACAAGCGTGTGTAATTACACGGTTCTTTAGCATCGCGCCGTCAACGCATCACCGTGACGGGCTTCGATCCGAATAATGATCGATGCGCGGTTTTAATTGTCATGCGAAGAAAATGCTGATGAAATTGTGAGTAGGTAGTTTAGGAATAGGCTAGTTTAGGAAAAAATTACTGATGAACGTTAGGAGAAATAATTATGTTATCTTCAGTAAACTGGTGTCGTCGAACCACCCTTATTTCAGTGAAAATTACTACCCCTTAATTTTTTGATTTGGTCAAATTAAATAAATACTTCTCTAATTTCATTAAATACAATAAATAATACTTCTCTAAGTTTATCAAATAAAATAAATAATATTTTTCTAACTTTGTCAAATACAATAAATAATACTTCTCTAGCTTCAGCAAATAAAATAAATAATACTTCTCTAAGTTCATCAGATAAAATAAATAATACTTCTCTAAGTTCGTCAAATAAAATAAATAATATTTTTCTAACTTCATCAAATACAATAAATAATACTTCTCTAAGTTCAGCAAATAAAATAAATAATACTTCTCTAAGTTCATCAGATAAAATAAATAATACTTCTCTAAGTTCGTCAAATAAAATAAATAATATTTTACTAACTTCATCAAATAAAATAAATAATATTTCTCTGATTTCATCAAATAAAATAAATAATACTTCTCTGATTTCATCAAACAAAATACTCATCACAAACTTCATTTTAACTTCATCAAATAACATAAATTCAACTCAAATTTCTTTACAAATTTCTTAATAAATGATACTCTTCTAATTTCATCAAATAAAACCACAGCCCCCAATTTCTCATCTAATTTAATTTTGCCAAAATTCTCCAATTGTCTGATTTAATCTAAAGCCTTCATAATTCCACTAATATCCACCAGTATTCCTCCACCAGTATCCACCAGTATCCCACCAAAAAACAGCAAGTGCAACAGCATTATCAACCCCTTGATAATAAATACCTTCGACAGGAAATCGTCCAGCAGGAATAAAATCGTCCACAAAATTTGAGATCCCATCACCGACCCAATCCACATGGTGTCTGTCCTTCAACTGCAGTCTCCATCGTTCCTGCATCACCGAAGGTTCCGTGGTTTCCGACAGAGTTAAAAGAGGCAGACACAGCAACGGAAACAGCAGCAACATTCTTCTGTAGCATCTGATCTGCTGGTTCACCAAATCGTTCGAAAAGCGAAGATCCGAATGTTTATCTCACTGTGTTCCTCCAGAGACAAGTATGCATCACTCAGAGTAGACAGCGATTCACTCGATGATCAGTAAACTTGATAATAATTTATTTATTTATTTACGTGAAATCCTGTTAGTTTTGTTACTCATCCAGTTTCAATATAAGCTTTCAGATTATTTATCTAGCTTTGGTAGGTGACCCTTCAAGTTTATTTGTCCAGTTTGGATAAATGAACCTTCAACTTAATTATGCTGTTCGAACAAATACACCTTCAGATCGAACATTTATGCAGCTTCGACAGGTAACCCTTCAAGTTTGCTATTTGTACAGTTAAGATAAATGAACCTTCAACTTAATTATCCTGTTCAAACAAATACACCTTTAGATCGAACATTTATGCAGCTTCGACAGGCAACCCTTCAAGTTTATTTGTCCAGTTTGGATAAATGAACCTTCAACTTAATTATCCAGTTCGAACAAATACACCTTCAGATCGAACATTTATCTAGCTTCAACAGGTAACCCTTCAAGTTTGCTATTTGTCCACTTTCAATAAATGAACCTTCATATCTATCCACTTTTGATAAACTAACCTTGAGATAAACCTGGAGATAGACTACCTATCCAGTCCCGATAAATAAACCTTGAGATAATTTATCCACTTTCAACAACTAAATCTTGAGATAGATTACCTATTCGGTCCCGATAAATAAACCTCGAGATAATTTATCCAGTCTCGATAAATAACCCTCGAGACAATATCTCTAGCCTCGATAAACAACCCTCCAGACAATATCTCCAGCCCCAATAAATAACCCTCCAAACAATTTATCCAAAAAATGACCTTCCAAACTGCTTCTCCAACAGTCTCCGAACAAAAAGAGCCGTAGTTAAAAGCACAGCGAGCCAGCTACCTGGCAAAAGTTAACTGACATTCGTCCTAGACGGACCATTAGTTTATATAGCAGGGACGTGAAAAGCCAGAAGAAGGAGACCATCTAAGATGGTACTGACGCGTGACGAAGGATTCGTCGTCCACTCCCGTCCACTACCGTGTTCCATCCTCTCCGATCATTGGACGTTGTTCCTAGTCGCAGGGGGGTCTGAAGATTCCTATGGGGATCGTTTATTATCATTGCCGACAATGTCGTTCTTCTGGAGAACACTCGTCTCGATCGTTGATCGAGCTTCGTTTCACACCCGACTAATTCGTTGGACGAGTTCGTAGCTCATCCGGATGATTTCACTGCGGTCTGTTTAAGACACCGCGCGGAGGGTGCCGTATGCGGCGATATATGGCGAGAGCTGGGACGAGAGGTAGGATATGACAGGTAATAGTGGAAATTTGATGGGGTTTATGTGGTCTTGGTGGGTGGTTTATGAGAACTTGATGGGTGGTTTTTGTGGACTTGCTGGTTGGTCCACATGCTTAAGTGTCACATATGTATATGTTAAAATCTGTTAAACCTAGTGTTGTCATATGATGCATGGACTGAATTCAACAATTATTTACGTACATAAAAATCAAGCTCTAAATGAAAATCAAAGTATATTTACATGTACATTACCAGAAAAGTAGTACGTCTATGTGAGTATACAGTTACGGGAATGTTAATGGCAAAATAATAGCAGTATTAATACGAACTTTGAACTTCCACTTCCGCAATACATCAAAACGACCACGCCGCATTTCTCGAGCAGTTGGCCAAACAAAAAGGATAGGAAAATTGGCGAAAGGGAATCATCGTTGAACGAAACGATGCTCGTCACATTACACGAGTCTCTCGCGTATGAAGCGAGCAACCCAGATGTCGCCGGGACAGTTTTATTCATGTGCCAACTGAAAGAGCATTGTAAGGACAATTTCGCTGCTTCCTGCGCGGGCACAGGAACATAGATAATTGTACGAGAAATGGGACAAACAGCGGTAACAGAAAGAAGAAGAAGAAGAAAAAGACAGCGGGAAAACTTGAGGAACACCGAATTACTATTATCACGGTTCTCTTTTTCGATAGCAGGAGATTGCATGTCGTGGTGCACGATCGATATGATCGTTTCGTTTAGAAGAAAAATAACGGCTCTTGATATTTTAACTGGCGTGGAACACGATTTGGCAAAAAATTGATCGTTGAATCGGAAGATTCTTGATTCTCTCATTGTATTGTTCCGGGAGTTTTTGCGGAGGTACTGTTTATTTGAGATTCGTGATGGAGAGTAATTGCATTTTTAGGAAGGGAGGAGGAAATGGGGGTAATGTTTAGAACTCTTCGTTTACTGGATTTCCATATTGTCTGATTCTCACATTCCCCAATTCCCACTAGAGACTTAAACATATTAACCTTAATTTCCAAGACAGATTGGACTTCTACTAAATTTTAGACAAGACCCATACGACAGTAGCATTTATCACACAAAATTTATGACGAGATAGATAAGAATTTCATATGAAAATTTCACATATGAGTCACATATGACAATTATGGTAATTCATAAATTAAATAAAAATTGTTAATATCAAAGTATAACTTCTTTTTTATATCACCAGTTACCCACAGTCAACGGAGCTTGAATGGAAACCTGACCATCAGTCATCCATGACTGTTATATAAATAGAATGATATTTCATAGAAAATATCTATCTGCCCATATCTGTGACAAATAGATTTGAGCCTCTACCTTCTGAGTCAGTGTGATTCCCAAATTGTCTATGATCCTCAATGTGACTATGTGGAAATGTGGAATTGGAGAATGTGGGAATTGGGGATTGTGGGAATTGGAGGATGTGGGAATTGGGGAATGTGGGAATTGGGAATTATGGAAATTGGGGAACGTGGGAATTGGGGAATGTTGGAATTGAGGAATATGGGAATTGTGGATTGTGGGAATTGGAGGATGTGGTTATTGGGGAATGTGAGAATTGGGAATTATGGAAATTGGGGAATGTGGGAATTGGGGAATGTGGGAATTGGGGAATGTGGGAATTGGGGAATGTGGGAATTGGGGAATGTGGGAATTGGGGAATGTGGGAATTGGGGAATGTGGGAATTGGGGAATGTGGGAATTGGGGAATGTGGGAATTGGGGAATGTGGGAATTGGGGAATGTGGGAATTGGGAAATGTGGGAATTGGGAATTATGGAAATTGGAGAATGTGGAAATTGGGAAATGTGGGAATTGGGAAATGTTGGAATTGGGGAATGTGGGAATTGGGGAATGTGGGAATTGGGGAATGTGGGAATTGGGGAATGTGGGAATTGGGGAATGTGGGAATTGGGGAATGTGGGAATTGGGGAATGTGGGAATTGGGGAATGTGGGAATTGGGGAATGTGGGAATTGGGGAATGTGGGAATTGGGGAATGTGGGAATTGGGGAATGTGGGAATTGGGGAATGTGGGAATTGGGGAATGTGGGAATTGGGGAATGTGGGAATTGGGGAATATGGGAATTGGGGAATGTGGGAATTGGGGATGGTAGAAATTGGGTAATGTTGGATTTGGGGAATGTGGAAATTGAAGAGTGTGAAAATTAAAAAATGTGGGAATTGGACAATGTGGAAATTGGACAACGTGGGAATTGGACAACGTTAGAATTAGACAATGTAGGAATCGAACAATATGAGAATTAATAAATGTCCTCAACTATGCTTCTCAATCCTTGACTTCCAAATTACATTTCCAAATTAGTCAACAATTTCCAAATACTCCACATTCCATATAACTCCCAATTCACAATTCTCAATTCACTAACAGAAGTATTCCCATCGGCCCGGTTATCAGCTTAGCGTAACTCAAAAATGATCGCGCCTGTCATCAAGTTCAAGCCTGTCATTAAGTCCCTCCCCATAGAGGATCCACCCTCGCTCGAATCCGCTTCCTTTCCTCGTCGCTCGAGCATGCGAGCTGTACCGTTTGACAATGTTACCTGACACATATATCGTCGCCGACAATTTGGATCACAGTGCTTACCGCGTTCATATATTGCCCGCTCGTCACGCGGTGCTCATTTTTCACGGACTGTCGATCCTGCTGGCAACTGAAGCGTGCCCGGCGTGGTACCCCGGTCAGCCCCCCTCGGAACCTAGCCGAGGAATCAAGAACGTACCAGTTACCTCGCGGTCGTTCGCTGTTACAGTCCGTTCTGACATTCAACCTTCATTCATTTGCATTCGTTCATTCTGAGGATCATTGGGCAACGAGAGGTCCATTTAGGGTCAAGGAGAAATCTACGAGTACTGCAAGTGAGCTTGTGAGTTCAGGTGGTTGGAGATTGCTTTATGTTATGTCACTGATTATTTATATTCTTCACTTTCAAATTGCTTTTCAGTAAGTTTGTGGGGTGGTGGATCAAGATTATTGCTTTGCTTTGAGATTGCTTTGGGTGTCCAGATTGAACTTGAGATCATTGTTTTGGGTGTTCAACTTGAATCTGATATCATTATTTTGGGAGTTCAACTTGACTCTGAGATCATTGTTTTGGGTGTTCAGCTTAATCTTGAGATATCATTGTTTTGGGTGTTCAACTTGACTCTGATATCATTGTTTTGGGAGTTCAGTTTGACCTTGAGATCATTGTTTTGGGTGTTCAACTTGACTCTGAGATCACTGTCTTGGGTGTTCAGCTTAACCTTGAGATCATTGTTTTGGGTGTTCAGTTTGACTTAGAGATCATTGTCTTGAGTGTTCAGCTTGACCTTGAGATAATTCTTTTGGATGTCCAACTTGACTTTGAGGTTCATGTTTTAAACTTGACTTTGAAGTTGATGTTTTGAATGTCCAACTTCACATTGAGGTTCATGTTTTGAATGTCCAATTTGACTTTGAAGTCCATGTTTTGAACATCTAACTTGACTTTGAAGATGATGTTTTGGGTGTCTAGCTTATAAGTACATTTTATGAGCTGGCTGCTGAAGATTATTAATTTGTTATGTTACGGTGGGGGTTGTTCTTTGTTCGTGACTTGGTTGTCTACCTTGCATGTACATTTTATGGGATGATGATTGATGTGTCCTATAAGAAATTATCTTCAAGACTGTTGCTTACAGCTATAACCTTGTTAGCACATTTGTGGTGGCTGTTAAAAATCATGTTCTCCATTATACAATACAACAGATTTGTAAATTTATGTATGTCATCTGAAACGTTTGTAACCTTGCAATCTCAATTTAAGTAATTATATGAACATCTGTTACATTATACTTTCTGACCTACAAAAAATAATTTAATTCAAAAATTTATTATAGAACGTCTTTTCACTATCTCCAGAGTCTTCAAACAATTTCAATTTCAGTAATAATATAAAGAAGACAATGCAAGGAGCATCCTGAACCCTCCACATGTTTCTCAAAATCCAAACACGAAAGCGAATGTGATTGATAATCGTCAGCTGAAGAGGTGAAGAACACTTCGAGGATGTAAGAGCCGTGATCAGCGAAGATGAGATCGAGAGTGAATCTAGTTGCGATTCTTTTAACCTTGAGCTGTGTGATCCGCCTGCTGGAGAGCGCGAAATCCCAGAAGCAGACCAGTCACACAGAATTTACTGTTGCGAAGAAGATTATCAAGGAGGTTCACAAGTTGGCGCCAACAAAAGCCTCGCTTACAAAAGTCGTGCCACAGAGTACGATTATTATACGGCAGGAGAGACCGAAGCCTCTAAGCAAGAATGTGGCGAGCAGTACTGCTTTGTCGAAGGATTACTTTTCAAAACCAGGTAAAGTAACGTTCTCTGTTATAAACAAATAATGATCATTTCTTATCTTTTTGATGGATGTATAAGATTGTTGGATTCAATCATAAGTCTGTGACAAGGTCTGGGTCCAAAAGAGGATGTTTGGTAAATTTACTTTAGGATGAATTCTTGATTCCTTGATTACAATTGTTAATGTAAATTAATATTGACGCTATATTTTTAAACTTGGAATCTATAAAAATTATCTGATCACTCTTGCAGCAAAATACTGAACTTGTACTAAAATATCTTCAAAATTATATAATTTGAAATTACTCGTTGAGACCTTCCGCCATTTTGTACCACAAGAAGCCTCAGTGCAATAAAATCTCAAAAATTAATATCAACTCATACTAAATAACATCACATACAACACATAATTCATCAAGTTTAATCTACTTAAAATTTTCCTGTCCCTCCAGAATAAAAACAACAATAATAATTAATTTCCTTTATTAAATCCTCGTTCCTCAAAATAATAACAACGACAATAATAATTAATTTCATTTATTAAATCCTCGTGACATACACAAAACAACGCAATCGCAAATTAATAAATATTAAACCGAACAAAATGAATTGGTTCCAGGTCGACCTCGCCGAAGGAAACGTAAAATGGGGCGTACGATGATGGCGCTGTTGATGGCCTACAAAATGAAGTTCGTCGCATTGATCCCAACGTTGGTCGGAGGTTTGATCCTGTTGAAGGCTACCGCGTTGTTAGCAGGATTTTTCTTCGCGTTATTCGCCGCCGTTCTAGGACTGAAAACACACTGAACAGCGTTGCGACAATTCGCTGAGGCATCGTACGCATCGTGAGATTGACGACTTTATTTCTCGTAACAGTTCGACCATCACGCTAATTTAACGCGTTAACTGCCATGTCGTGGATTTTAACTCTTGTTATAGAGACTCTTGTAGAGTAGACTCTCGCTGTAGAGTAGACTCTTGTTATATTGCCAATTTCGTGTGGTGGACTCTTCGTAGAATACGATTGATATCCTAGGTCGAGTAGTAGACACGTTGCATTTACTATGCATTGTACTTCTTATGTGTTGTAATTATTATACGTTGTAATTATTAGGCATTGTAATTATTATGCACTGTAATTATTATGCGTTGTAATTATTATGCATTGTACTTCCTATGCACTGTACTTCCTATGCGTTGTATTTATCATGCATTGTAATTACCATGCAATGTACTTGCTATACATTATACAGTCAATGCATCATTGCTCGGCAATATAACAAGAATCCACTCAAAAAGGTAAAAAAGAAGAAATAAACCTCGAATAAAATTAATACTAACAATGTTTTAATAATTAACCCGTTGAGCGTAAATAAAATAACCCATCAGGTAAAATTATAATTGTACTATATTCATTACCCTCTCGTTCATCGTCACAAAACGAAGCACTCCTTTACACCGCGGCCATTATGGCGCTCAACGTGTTACCGCCATTTTCGCATAGGCAGTTAACGCGTTACTCGTGGATTAACAGTAAGTGACAATAAATACCATGGCGTTCAACGATAAATGTGTCTTACTGAACTAAATATCTTGAGAGAAGCCGAATGCGACGGAACGGCTTTCAGTCATTTCAGTGGCAAAAGCTTCGACTCGGTTCCGCTAGAAACTCGCGTGTTCGAGAACGATTGACGTGTCAGATCGTTTCCCGGTTCAGGAGAAATGAAAATAAGTGACAGCTATGTGTTACTATGTCGATCGCGTGACGTTCTTATTTAGCTCGTAATTATTACACTGACGTGCGTTCGTGACGACTTTGATCCTCTACAAGTTTCATCCTCTATTAGATGCTCTACATGTTTGATGCTCTACAAGATTGTTGCTCTACAAGTTTCATCCTTTATCAGTTTCATCCTCTCCACTTTCTATAAACGCAAGAGGTCATTTTCTAACAAAGACAAGAATTCGAACAGTAAATTTCTATTTTTTGTACATTTCTTCGAAGGCCATATAGTGAACACAAATCGATGACTTCTAGGTGTTACGTTGGTGCATATGAAATTTCAAGTTTCTGGTCTTCGATTGATTATTGAAGAAGCTGAAGCTATTTTACATAATTATTGATATTTAAATATAGTAATTTACTATAATAATTTTGTAGTAACTGCTGCAAAATTTAATTTACAATTTTGTCAAAATGTGATGACTAATAAACGTTCACGAGATTTAAAACAGAAACATTTCACATACAGTAACCTAGCACCTGTACATCTAGTTTCGGCCATTTTGATTAATCTCTCAGTTTTACAGAGACTCTTTAACCCTTCGTTGCCAATCTCTTGCAAGTATCAATACTTTATATATTTTGTCAAGGCTAACCTATTTATATATTTTGTCAAGGTTAACCTATTCATATATTTTGTCAAGGCTTACCTATTTATATATTTTGTCAATTCTAACCCATTTATATATTTTCTCAAATCTAACCCATTTATATATTTTGTCAAGTCTAACCTCTTTATATATTTTGTCAAGGCTAACTTCTTTATATATTTTCTCAAATCTAACCCATTTATATATTTTGTCAAATCTAACCCATTTATATATTTTCTCAAATCTAACCCATTTATATATTTTGTCAAATCTAACCTCTTTATATATTTTGTCAAGTCTAACCCATTTATATATTTTCTCAAATCTAACCCATTTATATATTTTCTCAAATCTAACCCATTTATATATTTTGTCAAGGCTAACCTCTTTATATATTTTGTCAAGGCTAACTTCTTTATATATTTTCTCAAATCTAACCCATTTATATATTTTGTCAAATCTAACCCATTTATATATTTTGTCAAATCTAACCCATTTATATATTTTGTCAATTCTAACCTCTTTATATATTTTCTCAAATCTAACCCATTTATATATTTTGTCAATTCTAACCTCTTTATATATTTTCTCAAATCTAACCTATTTATATATTTTCTCAAATCTAACCTATTTATATATTTTCTCAAATCTAACCTATTTATATATTTTCTCAAATCTAACCTATTTATATATTTTCTCAAATCTAACCTATTTATATATTTTCTCAAATCTAACCTATTTATATATTTTCTCAAATCTAACCTATTTATATATTTTCTCAAATCTAACCTATTTATATATTTTCTCAAATCTAACCTATTTATATATTTTCTCAAATCTAACCTATTTATATATTTTCTCAAATCTAACCTATTTATATATTTTCTCAAATCTAACCTATTTATATATTTTCTCAAATCTAACCTATTTATATATTTTCTCAAATCTAACCTATTTATATATTTTCTCAAATCTAACCTATTTATATATTTTCTCAAATCTAACCTATTTATATATTTTCTCAAATCTAACCTATTTATATATTTTCTCAAATCTAACCCATTTATATATTTTCTCAAATCTAACCCATTTATATATTTTTTCAAGTCTAACCTATTTATACATTTCATCAAATCTAATTCACAAATAAGCAACAATACGAAAACCATTTAAGTTCACAACTGCGTTTCCTCCACAACGATCCTCGACAGCATAAATAAATTTTCCAACAAAATTTATTTACCAGCTGCTGTTACAAAATCAAAAGAACGAAGGGTTAAAAAATTTCACCTTTGCTAACTTCCCCAAATTTACAAGAAATTAAAAATCTAGAATCTCGAGTAAATTCTGCACGCGCACCGCTACAGCTGTCACTTAAAAATTCGAAATAACACGCGAGTCCTGAAAAGTTCTAGCGTTGATGTCTCGCCGAGTACGCCAAGTTGTGCGCGTAATCCCGCGAGGCCTGCGTCGTAGATGCGGCAACGATCTTGAGACTCCTGTCCCAGCCTCCGCCTCCCTGCTGCCATCCGCCATGATCGTGGCTCTGCTTTTGGCTGAGTAGCTTCTTCAGTCCGATGATCAGAGATAGAACTAGAGCGATCTTGCTGACGATGAGTGCCTTGCCAGCTATCAAGAAGAGCACTCCAAGTGCTAACGGGATCATTAGCATCATTTTCATGGCTACTCCCATCATCATCGTGCCCATCATCTTCTTCATCTTGCCTCGGCCCTCCTCCATGCCTCTCTTCAGCTCTCCTGGTGTGGTTTTCGGCAGACGAATCTGAATATTGAAACTATTCAGCAACGAGGCTACTCTGTCGAAGAGTATCTCGTTCAGAATCTCGTCCTTGCCGCTGGAGGTCCTCGCCTCGAGGTCGTTCACCGAACTCGGAGCGATATCCGCGGTCCTGACCAGCTCGAAGTTCTCGGACAGCGGTAGTATCTGCATTCTGCCCAGTCTCTCGAAGAACGCGATCGCCTTTTTCTTGAGACAGGGCGATATAGCTATGTTGCGATGCTGGCAGTCCTCGTAGACCCTGTACATCGCCCTGACGCCCTTGTCCACGAAGGTGTCGTCGTCCTTCGTTGTCGAGGCGCAGACACCGCACGCTAACAACAGCATCACACACTTGGACAGCTCCATACTCCGTTAATCCGTTAATGGGTAACACAGGAGGCACTTCCTTCAGGGTCCTCGACTAGTGAGAACTGGCGACAGGACCAGGTGTACGGACCGATATATACCATCGAGCTATGCTCCATCCTTCGCAAACCAGAGTGAGTCTCCCACGTAAAGAACCTGCACGGATCGCAACAACATCAACGTTCTAAACAAGTCCGTCGTGCGCGCTTTGTCTCGCTCGTGGGAAACTGTGGCTCTTCCATGTTCTCGCGGGGCGACCCATCTTGACACACAGACCCACTCAAGCGAGCCTGTGCAGAGTTTCGCTGATGTTTAGGAAGGGGGAAGATGCATAAAGGAAGTATCCTATTGGAGCAGCTGACACCGTGACCCTCTAGACCTTTACGATTATCCTCGTGACGCTTGAAAGTAGTTTTAGGTCGCGGACGGAGCGCGGCCTTACTCTCGCGGGTCTTACTACTTCGTTTTCTTCTTCCTTTCGAACTGTGGTTTATGTGGTCCGTTTCGAGGTTCCATGGCGGATAGGTTTAATTGGACGAGTCGGCGCGTTTGGATCTTCGGGGAGATTTGGGGAGAGTCGGTTGGATGGAATTCTGGTAGACGTTCAATGTGATGATTCAGTGCAATTCAAGGTTTTGTCACGTTGCTCTATTTGCAATTTAGGTGCAATTTAATTTCCAACAAGGATCATATCGATGAAGTTACAGACTATTGAGTTCAATGTGGTACAAGATGACACTATTGAATTTCATGGGACTTGTTACAATGATAAATTTGGTGCAATTCAATTTCTAACAAGATTCAATTCGATGATGTTCAATTATATTTTATTGAGTTCAATGTGGTGTAAGATGACATGGGTGAATTTCAAGGTTTTGTCACAATGCTAAATTTGGTGCAATTCGATTTCCAGTAAGGTTCAATTCGAAGAAGTTCAATTACATATTATTGAGTTCAATGTGATGCAAGTTGACAAGGTTGAATTTCAAGGTTTTGTCACACTGCTCAATTTAGTGTAATTTAATTTCCAGCAAGGTTCAATTCGATGAAGTTCAGTTACATATTATTGAGTTCAATGTGGTGTAAGATGACAAGGTTGAATTTCAAGGTTTTGGCACAATACTCAATTTGGTGCAATTCGATTTCCAGTAAGGTTCAATTCGATGAAGTTCAATTATATTTTATTGAGTTCAATGTGGTGTAAGATGACATGGTTGAATTTCAAGGTTTTGTCACAATGCTAAATTTGGTGTAATTCGATTTCCAGTAAGGTTCAATTCGATGAAGTTCAATTACATATTATTGACTTCAATGTGGTGTAAGATGACATGATTGAATTTCAAGGTTCTGTCACAATGCTAAATTTAGTGTAATTTAATTTCCAGTAAGGTTCAATTCGATAAAGTTCAATTATACTTTATGGAGTTCAATGTAATGCAAGTTCACAAGGTTGAATTTTAAGAAATTTGTCACAATGCTTAATTTTGTGAAATTTAATTTTCAGTAAGGTTCAATTCGATGAAGTTCAATTATACTTTATGGAGTTCAATGTAATGCAAGTTCACAAGGTTGAATTTTAAGAAATTTGTCACAATGCTTAATTTTGTGAAATTTAATTTCCAGTAAGGTTCAATTCGATGAAGTTCAATCATACTTTATGGAGTTCAATGTAATGCAATTTCACAAGGTTGAATTTTAAGAAATTTGTCACAATGCTTAATTTTGTGAAATTTATTTTCCAACAAGATTCAATTCAATGAACTTCAGTTACAGTAACTATTGAGCTCAATATAATATAAGCTCACAAGGTTGAATTTTAAGAAATTTGTCACAATGCTTAATTTTGTGAAATTTATTTTCCAACAAGATTCAATTCAATGAACTTCAGTTACAGTAACTATTGAGTTCAATGTAACATAAGTTCACAAGGTTGAATTGTAAGAAATTTGTCACAATGCTTAATTTTGTGAAATTTATTTTCCAACAAGATTCAATTCAATGAACTTCAGTCACAAACTACTGAGTTCAATATAATATAAGTTCACAAAGTTGAATGTCAAAGGACAGGTCACAATGCGTTTCAGTTTCAATTCAATTCCAATTCGACAAAACCGATAGCTAAAAAGAATTAATGAGTAATCAACTTCACTAATCCTGAAGTAAACATGACTCGCCATCTTATCTACGTATTCTTCTATTTGTGATCCTGTCGTTTCATCCGTGTTCCTTTTCTTTATATCCACGATCCTTTCTCTTTCAATGCACTATAAAGAATCCTTTCGGTTGCACCTTTTTCGTCCATTGCACTGGATTGCATTCACCTTCACTCGTGGTCTTCTTCTTTTTTCGAAGTTAACCGGCCGCGTCGAGGAAAACAAGTCTCCATGATACGTAATAACGCGGTTTCGCGTTAGTTCCTTTAATTATATTCTTTAGTTCTGCTGGCGATAAACTGTTGCGTGTTACATTGTTACAGCACGATGAAACCAGAGAAATTTATTCTTCGAGTTTTTATTCATAACTTCTCATTGTTTTGCATTTCATTTTACTCTTTCGTTCCTGATGTTCTTTTAATGAAATACGATAGGTCTGTTTTCATACAGTAAAGCTAGTGAAAGCTCATATACATTATTTTAATTTTAGGTGTATTTTTAGTTCTGTATTATCATTTATTTTAATTCGTTATTTATTATTAGCAAATTAGTCAAATATACAAACTGCTCAAAAAATGTAAAAAATTCTGAAAGACTTGTTGAATAGCTGAACTATTTTTGTTGAATATACCTCTAGGTTTCAATTATACCTAATTAGCATGATGCCTAGTTTGTATTGATTTGTATGAACGGGTCATCAGTTTCAGTACAATTTCTCCATAAAATTAGGAACCAGTGACAGATAGAACCAAATAAAAAAAGCGTTCCTTGGGTGGTCAAAAATCGAGCAAAACGGAATGTGTCACTATGCCGATCTCTCACTGCGAGTCTGGCACCCGATCGAGGTTAAACGCATCTCTAATGCAACTACGACGCATCCTCGATGCTGGTTTACCTACTTATGGCGATTATCCCATAGCGAGGGACCCATGGTAGTACGGCGTTAACGCGCGTGCCACATTCGCGGCACGCTGCGGAATTCACACAGGCGCGAGGAACGGATTCCACGTTTAACAATGATGACTCGCGCTCGCGGAAAATAAATGGTCAAAGTGGACGGACGAATGTCAACCACCTGACGAACTTCATTTTTTTCTATATCTTAGACTGGGGTCTTCAAAAATTTGGAATGATAGAGAAAAAGAAGATGCATATCATTTACAGATGTCTCGTTTAATTGTTCTGAAGGTATTTTATTATCCTATTATATTACTATTTGACTTTTTTAATAGCAAGGCTTTATGTGCTTCATCTTTTTGTAAATATCAGCTTGATGGATTTTCTTGGGAACATCATTGTGCTTCATATTTTTTAACAGCATCTTTGATTTTCGTAGGAACGCCATTTTGTTTAATTTTCTTCTGAACATCGTGTTGAGTGAATTTTCTAGGAACATCATCTTGTTCGATTTTCTTGAAGAGATCATCTTACTTAATTTTTCTCGAGGACGTCATCTTGTTCGATTTTCTTGAAGATGTCATCTTACTTAATTTTTGTCGAGGACGTCATCTTGTTCGATTTTCTTGAAGAGATCATCTTACTTAATTTTTCTCGAGGACGTCATCTGGTTCGATTTTCTTGAAGACATCATCTTACTTAATTTTTCTCGAGGACGTCTTCTGGTTTGATTTTCTTGAAGACATCATCTTACTTAATTTTTCTCGAGGACGTCATCTTGTTTGATTTTCTTGTAAACATCATCTTAATTGATTTTTCTATGAAAATAATTTTGCTTCATTCTTTTTAAACATCATCTGGTTTAATCTTCTTGAGGACATCATCTTACTTAATTTTTCTCGAGGACGTCTTCTGGTTTGATTTTCTTATGAACATCATCTTAATTGATTTTTCTATGAAAATAATTTTGGTTGATTTTTTTTAAACATCATCTGGTTTAATGTTCTTGAAGACATGATCCTACTTCATTTTTTTGTGGACGTCATCTTGTTTGATTCTCTTGAAGGCATCATCCTACTTCATTTTTTTGTGGACGTCATCTTGTTTGGTTCTCGTGTAAACATCATCTTAATTGATTTTTCTATGTACATAGTCTTGATCATTTTACTTGGAAACATCTTCTTGTTTGATTTTTTTGAGAACATGATCTAGCTTGATTTTTTTGAGGACATCATCTAGCTTGATTTTTTTGAGGACACCGTCTCAGTGTAGTACAATAACCATAACAATAGAAGAGATCAGATACCATTGTATTGTAATTGGCACGGTTGAGTATACAGAATTGTAAGTCAAAAGCATACGTCATCTTATTAAAATTGGGTAGTAGCATATGAGGACGCGGCACGTTCGCCATTGTTATAAAAGAAAGTTCTTGATTTGTCCGCGAACGGGGACAGCAAGGTTTAATCCACGAATAACGCTAGCTATTCCTTTATTGCCACCAAAATACGTTTACACTGGGTACAAAAGGACTCGCGTGAATACCTGAAAAGTCCTGTGAAGTATAGAAATAATGGACATTTTTAGAATGTTGTAATTAATAGTTCACTATCGTTCCTAACCTATTAAATTTATTGTGCGTGGAACATGTAAACGTCTAGGAACATATCAGAGTAAAATCTACTTTTATTACTTAAAACTCCCATAAAAATTACAACAGTATAAAATTCCCACTTGTGGAAAAGTGTTTTCGCCCACAATAATCGACGGAAGTAAGAATTTCCGAGTAAACGGGAGCGAGGGAACTGCAGCAATGAAAGGGGATTTTGGTAAGAGGTCGACTTCTGTGTTTAATAGATTCAGGTCAGATTCGCAACAGGTGGCTGTTGTGACCTGGCTCATTAGCACCGCTCGAAAGCCATGAATCAGTGAGCACTGCTGTTACTACTACTATTACTATAGGCCGTTGTTCGGTTTCGCTGCTGGGTAATTTTTAACACGATTTCGGAGCAATTGTAATAACTGTCTGGTGAATAAAAAAACACAATTCATCTTAATTAGTAGGTGAACGCGCAGATAGCGAGTTCTACGTGTCTACCTTATTGGTAACTTTTTTGAGGTTAGACTCTGACGAAATAACCTTGCGAAGCTACTTAATTTTTATAATAGTAAACCTTTGATAAAAATTTTGAGGTTAGACTCTGATGAAATAACCCTGTAAAGCTGCTTAATTTTTATAACAGTAAACCTTGATGATCGATAACATTTTTTAGGTTAGACTGTGACGAAATAACCTTGCAAAGCTGCTTAATTTTTATTATAGAAAACCTTGATCATCGATAACATTTTTGAGGTTAGACTCTGATGCAATAACCTTGCAAAGCATTCTTAATAATTTTTGTAACAGAAAACCTTGATCATTGGTAATTTTTTTGAGGTCCAATTTCAGTGAAACAACCTTCCAAAGCTACTTAATTTTTGTAATAAAAAGTCTTGATCATCAATAACATTTTTGAGGTTAGACTCTGGCGAAATAACCTTGCAAAGCATTCTTAATAATTTTTGTAACAGAAAACCTTGATCATTGGTCATTTTTTTGAGGTCCAACTTCAGTGAAACAACCTTCCAAAGCTACTTAATCTTTCTAATAAAAAGCCTTGATGATCGATAACATTTTTGAGGTTAGACTTCGGTGCAATGACCTTTCAAAGCTACTTAACTTTTGCGATACAAAATAATACTTTTAATGAACTAATTAGATCTAATCAGTGATACAGTGGATTATAATAGAATCTAAAGCTGTTACATACTGAATATATAACACTCATCCTCAAGATTTGAAATCGCGTGCAACCCGTGACCTTCGGAAAATATATAGTCCTGCACACATCCAAGCAGCGAATCGAGGATGCTCGATCGGCCCAGTGGCACACAAAGTTGTTGCGATGAAAAACACTCAGCCTTTTAAGACCTTATTTTCTACTTCTCGGCGAGGAAACGGAACCAGGAATGCATCCTCGGTTCGGTGGCAGTGTCTCATTGTATCTAACAACGGATGACTTTCCAATGCTTCATCGATTCGAATAATTTACGTTCGTTAAATAAGTGTTACGCTGTTTTTCGGTATCAGATCAAGATTCGAAGCACGAAATTCTACTGATGAATATTTCAACGTAGAAATTCTCTTAATGAATAATTTTACATTCCGATAATTTTTATGTAGAGTTATGAGGCATAATTGATCTGATAGTTCATCTTTTCGTAATCAGTACATCGATCTGGTTCTCAATGTCCGGTACATTTACATACATTATGCATGTTTGTGTAGGAGTTATGCATTTAAGTTTGACATTGCGCTGTCAAGTTTACTTTTATTTTTACGAACGGGATCTTGAATTATATTCTGTTATATATTATTATATTATAATATTATATGTTATTAGTATATTATTAGTAATGGTTAAATTTTCTTTTAAGAAGACATGCAATCAGTGTGGACACTCGAAATCAAGATGGCCGCCGCGCTCACATGGGCTGCGCAGATCGACTGCGCAGGTCGAGTCATAGAGTAACACAGAGATTTCAAATTTTAGAGCTTGGGAATTTGGAAATATTGCGAGTGGGAGATTTTGAGATTTGGAAATGTGGGAACTGGGAAGTTTAGAAAATTAGGGGTGTGGGAATTTGGAGACTTGAGAATTTGGGGATGTGGGAATTTGGAAATTTGGAAATTTGGGGGCGTGGGAATTTGGAAGCGTGGGAATTTGGGGACGTGGGGAATTTGAAGATGTGGGGAATTTGGGGACGTGGGGATTTGGGAACGTGGGGATTTGGGGACGTGGGGATTTGGGGGCGTGAAAATTTGGAAAGTTAGAAATTTGGGGGCGTGGGAATTTGGAAACTTGGAAATTTGGAAAATCAGAAATTTGGGGGCGTGGGAATTTGGAAATTTGGAAATTTGGAGGCGTGGGAATTTGGAAACTTGGAAATTTGGGGGCGTGGAAATTTGGAAAGTTAGAAATTTGGGAGCGTGGGAATTTGGAAATTTGGAAATTTGGAGGTGTTGAAATTTGGAAATTTGGAAATTTGGAGGCGTGGGAATTTGGAAATTTAGAAATTCACGGACGTGAGAATTCGGAAATTTAGAATCTTAAAGACAATGTAAAAAATCTCCCCAAATTCAAAAATCTATTAAATCCAGATCTACTCCATAACCAAAACTATCTACCTAAATTCCGAAATGAACAGCGCCAGAATGCGAAATTACCAGCATTCATCGATAATGTCTACAATCCAGCACCCAATACCTAAATCAAAACTCCAATTAGCATATTCAGCCCTGCAATTAGCCCAATTCCTTTTGTTTTCGATGCATCGGTTATCGCGCGTGTGGCATCGTTTCACACTGTACGAGCACGTTGCAATTAACAGCGATCGCGGAGCGTGATCTAAGCGCAGCCCAGCTGTATTTTCCGATGCTGATCCGCACGAATCGAGCAAAACACCTGCAACGATAACGATACGCGGTTGCATTCACGCTCTGTATGTCGTAACCGTTAATTACGTTCGCCTTTATAAAAATGACCACCACTTTAGCCGGCCAGTTTCGATCGAACATGCTTCGACGTACGTTCGTGGTGCTGCAGTTCTGCAGCTTCCTAATCGCTTGCGGTTGCACCATTGTTCTACGCAATGATTATATTAGTGTATCGACAGCAACGGACTGTCAACGACAGAATTCTACTGAGTGTGCGACGGGGACGCAGGAGGCTGGGACTGGCGATCAGGATGGGGAGAGAGTGGATGGGAATGTGGAAGAAAATTTTGGGGATGGAGAGGGTGATGAGGGTAAGTGCCAGATTGAGATGTAGACATAAATCATTTTTTTTGTGTTCAATTTATTTTTGTGAGACTTTGTTTAAATTATAGTTTGTCGTACTGTTGTATGATAGCAATGCATTATAACATCCACGTATGATGTTTGAAGCATACAAACTTAATGTATACAGGGTGTTTCATAATTAGTGTAGGTCTCAGGAGGACGTGATTTTGAATAAAATTTCCCTTTGCAAAAATTGGGTACGAAGCTTCGTTTTGGAGTTATTAAGGAAAAACACGGACCAATCAGATCGCGAGGGCGTGCGCAGGCGCGAGAGCTAAGAGGCGGAGCGTGCGTAATTCTCGCGCTCTGATTGGTCCGTGTTTTTCCTTAATAACTCAAAAACGAAGCTTTACACAGCATTTTCGCAAAGGGAAATCTTATTCAGAATCTTGTCACCTACCTATTTCAAGGACCTACACTAATTGTGAAACACCTTGTATAACACACATATCGTTATGCATCTATTTTCTTATCTAATTCGAAAATATGTTACATGTACATATCGTCAAGTTATGACGTTAGATCTTATTTTAATTTTACAAGATAGTAAAGTGTAATTCACGAAGAGTGCTTGAATCACTGTCTGAGTTAGTAGTTCATACCTGAGTTTTATGTCAAAGAAAGTCACTAGCATGCCCACTTTTCTATTGTATTCAAATGAAGATAATTTTGCAATTTTCTTCATATTTTATTAAACAAGTTTTCAACGAGTTTCTCTTTAATTAAAGACACTATGTAATTAGATGTTTGTACGCAAATTTTTCTTTTAAGTAGAGTAAGCAGATGTTAATCAGACAACACTGAAAATTGATATTAACATACTCTCCTAATGGTACACTTAGACAATGGTGCTAAAATTAGATATTGAAACAGAAAATTTTTTAATACTACAGTGAATTGTCTTGCTCATCTCAAATTGTAAATTGATTATATGTAATTTTATATAACACGTGTCTTACCACATACGTCTACCTTCACTGCAAATATATATTAAAAATTCTACGTAAATTTTAAAAATAAATTTTGAAATTATATTTAAAATTGTATTTTCTCAAGAAAACCTTCAACCAGCAAGAAATACCGTTGCACCAATTCACACTTAATTATTTAATTACACCTAACATGTTTCGAAGTAATCTCCGCAGAGATCTCACACGTCGCGTGACAAGACACTCTTTTTCATAACTCACTTGTTTCCTCGCGGTAAACGGACGCTCTCGTAAATTAAACATTCGCATAATTTTATTAGCGAGAATTACCTCTCTTCTTTACAGCCAGGGGTCGCAGGAAGAAGAAAGGATATGGACAGATGCTGATGTACTTTCTGGGTGCTTCCAAGCTGACTATGCTTTACGTGTTGATCAATATCGTTACTGCCATCGCTGCGAAAGCTCTGGTCGTTGGGAAAGCTGCTCTGGCCATTGCTACTGCTCTTGCTTTGAAGAAAGCTTTTGGTAAATATATTTATTTAAATATACAAGAAGACATTTTTAGTAAATTCTTTCAAATGAAGAAGGATGGATACAGGGTGCTGATAAAATTATATAAAAATAAATATTTATGTCTGACATAAAAATTGCAAAAATTTTAGATGTCAAGGTTGATAATTGTTTTTGGTATTTGGATTTTTAAAATGAGTATGAAGTTTTATTTCAGACATAGAAATGCTAGCAAAAATTTTAGATGTCAAGGTTGATAATTGTTTTTGGTATTTGGATTTTTAAAATGGGTAACATGAAGTTTTATTTCAGACATAGAAATGCTAGCAAAAATTTTAGATGTCAAGGTTGATGATTATTCTTAATATTTGTACTTTTTAAATAAGCAACATGAAGGTTTGTATCAAACATAAAAATGATAGCAAAAATTTTAGATGTCAAGGTTGATGATTATTCTTCATATGTGTACTTCTCAAATAGACAACATGAAGATTTATATCAAACATAAAAATGCTAGCAAAAATTTTAGATATCAAGGTTGATGATTATTCTTCATATTTGTACTTTTTAAATAGACAACATAAAGATTTATATCAAACATAAAAATGATAGCAAAAATTTTAGATGTCAAGGTTGATGATTATTCTTCATATGTGTACTTCTCAAATAGACAACATGAAGATTTATTTCAGACATAGAAATGCTAGCAAAAATTTTAGATGTCAAGGTTGATGATTATTCTTAATATTTGTACTTTTTAAATAAGCAACATGAAGGTTTGTATCAAACATAAAAATGATAGCAAAAATTTTAGATGTCAAGGTTGATGATTATTCTTCATATGTGTACTTCTCAAATAGACAACATGAAGATTTATATCAAACATAAAAATGCTAGCAAAAATTTTAGATATCAAGGTTGATGATTATTCTTCATATTTGTACTTTTTAAATAGACAACATAAAGATTTATATCAAACATAAAAATGATAGCAAAAATTTTAGATGTCAAGGTTGATGATTATTCTTCATATGTGTACTTCTCAAATAGACAACATGAAGATTTATATAAAACATAAAAATGCTAGCAAAAATTTTAGATATCAAGGTTGATGATTATTCTTCATATTTGTACTTTTTAAATAGACAACATAAAGATTTATATCAAACATAAAAATGATAGCAAAAATTTTAGATGTCAAGGTTGATGATTATTCTTCATATGTGTACTTTTTAAATAAGCAACACATGAACCTGGCATTGTTAATTATTCATCTATTAAATAACATAATATTGTGTATGCATTTTATAGATGCACCTTCTCATACACTAACAAAAATACTATATTCAATTACTATTGGCATTGTATCTTACAGAGCACAAGGAGAAGGTGACGTACGAGGTAGTCAAGCACCCCTACCACACCGTTGAACACAGCCATAGTTCCAGCATCGACTACGACCACCACGGTTACGGTGAAAATGAATTCGGCTACCGAAAACGAAGAAGAATTCACCAATAACGAAGCGCAGTTACCAAATCAAATTTTGTATAAATAAAGAAAATTTCGCTGCAAATATTTATATGAAGCCCACTTTTTTAACACTTCTGATCAGTTCTAAATAGACTCTGGATAAACAGATAGACTGTAAATAATTTGTGGCAGATTCTGGATATTTATTTATTTATTTTTAATGTAACATAGTCAATTTTAATTTAAAATGTATCGTTACATAAATCATTTTTATAACAGTGTGTCAGCATTTTGTATTTATAAAAAAATTTTGTTATAAAAAAAAATGTACTCATGAAAATAAAAATATTTATATAATAACCTTTATTACCTTTTTACAACAATATACAAATCACAATACTCCGTATAAAATACAAAAATTTTTGGTACAGCTTATTTTACTCTTTACAATGCGTTTTAGCCAGTCCATCAATTTTATTAAAAAGTTCCTCTCTCTTAAAAAAAGGATAATTTATACATCTTACTCGATCAGTTAAAATTTATTTATTTATTTATTCAAGTGGGAGGAACACCGTCGATGGTTCTCTGCCAGCCACCATAACCTCCGCCACTGCTGTAGCTTCCGTGATGATCGCTTCCGGTCGCGTAGATCACTTCGTGCCCGCTACCGCCTTGATGCGACACTAACTTCTTTAATCCTATGATCGCGCTCAAAACTAGCGCTATTTTTGCCGTCAGGAGCGCTGTTCCGGCGATGAACGCTATTTTCCCGTACGCCAGCTGCGCCATCATCGCTGGAAAAATTGTTGCCATCACTATTTTGAAGATGGAGGGAATTCTACCTTGTGTAATTTTACAGATGGCGATTTTGTAATGAGTTGGTGATTTTATATTCTTGCTAGTTCACCTTTAATTTTAAAAGGATGAATTTGTGATGGACAAAATTTTATATTAATGAAGTAATCAATATAAAATCTGTCTGTATATAAATAACACAAGGATATATCATTGTAAAATAATACAAGATTTCACACGAAATGATTTATGACTAAAATTCTAATAATTTTGCAATTACCTGCAACAGCCATGGCTCCCATCATGATTGCCCCGTATCCCTTCCCCTTCTTCCTCCTCCCTAAAAAAATTACACGATAAACCCTCAAAACCTCGTACCTTCTCTACTCAAACCTCTAAATACCTTCAAAGACATCGCCCGGTATAGTCAGCTTGACACTCCTAGAAGCCAGATACTCGTGAAACTTGTTGTCAAGCCTCTGATCCAGACTAAGCTCCGTTCCGTTCTCGTCCTTGAATGATCGATCCGTGCCTCTCGCGAGTACCTCAGGATCCCTCTCGATGGACACATAATCGTTCAACACGTACACCGAATCGTCCTTAATGGCGGAGTCCAAAATGTCCAACGCCTTCTTCTTCAGGCAATCGAACGCGTTCTTCTCGGCCGCGCATTTGTCGAACAGCTTCGTGTACTCGTTTCTGCCGTGCGCCAAATGGAGGAACGTCAAATGAAGGATCACGAAGAGTATCCTGATCCTTTTCATTATGGAAGGCGCACGATACTGTTAGCTAACGGTGATCCAATTTTGCAGCGAGGTAGCCGCTCGAAAAATTCCACAGACTAATAGGAATCGTTCGGCCGCGGCTCTTTTATAAGAGTATTTCGCGTTCTCCTACCATCGGTCAGTTCGTCCTTATAACAGGTCGGCTAACACCTGATCCACGCGCTGTTTAACGCCTCCTCCTCTGGGAGGAGGGACTCCGGAACCAAAACAATGTCGTACAGCCCCGTAAGTAAGTATCCCTCTGACCTGCTTGCCTAGCCATGCCGAAACCCTCGAATAACGAATGGGAATTAAAGGCTTCGGACGACAATCGGGAAAGTTTCTTTTTCATGGCGTTTAATTGTTCTGACAGGAGGATTTGGGAGGTGCAGAGGTTTTGGTTATTGTTCGTTTATTTGGGGGCGGTGGGAGGTGTGAGAGGAAGTTTAATCGAGGTTAAGTGGTTATCGAGATTATGTAGTAGAGGTTATGTGGTTATTGAGATTATGTAGTAGAGGTTATGTAGTAAAGGTTACGTAGTGGAGGTTATGTGGTAGAGGTTATGTAATAGAGGTCATGTAGTAGAGGTTTTGTGGTAGCGATTATGTAGTAGAGGTTATCTGATAGAGGTTATGTAGTAGAAGTTATGTGGTTATCAAGGTTATGTAGTAGAGGTTATGTGGTTATCAAGATTATGTAGTAGAGGTTATGTCGTAAAGGTTACGTAGTGGAGGTTATGTGGAAGAAGTTATGTAATAGAGGTCATCTAGTAAAGGTTACGTAGTGGAGGTTATGTAGTAGAAGTTATGTAATAGAGGTCATGTAGTAGAGGTTATATGGTAGAGATTATGTAGTAGAGGTTATATGGTAGAGGTTATGTAGTAGAGGTTATGTAGTAGAGGTCATGTAGTAGAGGTCATGTGGTAGAGGTTATATAGTAGGGGTTATGTTGTAGAGCTTATGTAGTAGAGGTTATATGTTAGAGGTTATGTAGTAGAGGTCATGTGGTAGAGGTTATGTAGTAGAGGTTATATAATAGAGGTTATGTAGTAAGAGGTTAAGTGGTGGCACTAGAAGGTTAAGTTTTGTTGACTGTTTGGAACCTTGATGGTGAGAAATATGAGATAGGTGAATGAATAAATTTATTTTCATTTTTGGTAAAATTAGAATAATATTTCTGGTGAAACAAGAATTTCGGTCCAAATGCAATTCATGAAATATCAGATACATTCAATTTGGAATATAGGTTCAAAACACCCAAATTACAAATATTAAAAAATTCTAGAGTCCATCTAACCTTCATTACCTAACCTCCATAATTCTAAGTTCCCAAATTCCATAAGCCAAATTCCAAAATTAGAATATATTAAATTCCACCTAACCTCCATGACCTAACCTTAAAGACTGCAAAACTACATATTCCATATCCCAAGTTTCAGAATTAAAAAATCCTAAATTCCACCTAACCTCCATTACCTAGTCTCCAGAATTCCAAATTCCCAAATTTCATAACCCAAATTCCAAAATTAGAATATCCCAAATTCCACCTAACTCCTATTACCTAACCTTCATTGCTTGACCTTCAAAATTCCAAATCCCTAAATTCCATAACCCAAATCTCAAAATTAAAATATACTAAATTCGACCTAACCTTAAAGATTGCAAAACTCCACATTCCATATCCCAAGTCCCAAAATTAAAAAATCCCAAATTCCACCTAACCTCCATTACCTAGTCTCCAGAATTCCAAATCCCCAAATTTCATAACCCAAATTCCAAAATTAGAATATCCCAAATTCCACCTAACTCCCATTACCTAACCTTCATTACTTAACCTCCAAAATTCCAAATCCCTAAATTCTATAACCCACATCCCAAAATTGAAATATCCTAAATTCCACCTAATCTCCAAAATTCCAAATCCCCAAATTCCACCTAACTCCCATTACCTAACCTCCATTACCTAACCTCCAAAATTCCAAGTCCCCAAATTGCAAAAAATCCCATAATCCAACAATAAAAATTTGACTACATTGAACAGCGAAAGTCAATCAGCATAACAGTAGTTCCACCGACCACGCGTGAGCATATTTCGCGCACAAAAATGGCGGAAAATCGTCGTCGGCGCGAACCTCGGTCGCATCTCGGAGATACTGTTAATCCGACACAGATTACGAACCGTGACGGGCCACATCCGACAAATGACTGGAGCAATTACTACTCACACGAATTTTATTAAAAACGTCCAGCGTTCACGGGATATTCGAGGGCCGGCTGAAAATCCAGGACACTCTTCTCCGCGTTTATCGTTTCCCCTCGACTCCATCTGACCGGCCAGCAATCGCAATTACCCTACTTCCGACAAAGGGGAAGAAGAAACCAGCGACACTGAAAAACAGCATTCCACCGTTTCGTTATGTTCACTTTTATGAAGCTTTTCGGTTGTTAGCCGAAGTCCATCAGAAGTCTCGTTAAAGATAATTCGGATACAACCGTGGCTGACCATTTTGCTTTTTAAGATTTTGTTTAAGATAGCAAATTGTAGTAAACGGAGCTGGTACATAAATTAAATTCGTGAAAATAAATTCATTTTGATTATGTCGAAGAGCCTGCGTGAGAGCAAGCTTGTGTGAGGTTGCTTATGAAATTATTTCTAAACTATCTCATCAGTTAATAATGTGTAAGAGCAAGCTCGTGTGAGGTTGTTTATGAAATTATTTGAACATGTGTGTCATATGAGTGACCGTGTTAACTCTTATTTCACATATGTCCCTTATTTAACTAAATCAGCCAACTGTCTCATCAGTTAATAATGTGTAAGAGCAAGCTCGTGTGAGGTTGTTTATGAAATTATTTGAACATGTGTGTCATATGAGTAACCGTGTTAACTCTTATTTAACATATGTCCCTTATTTAACTAAATCAGCCAACTGTCTCATCAGTTAATAATGTGTAAGAGCAAGCTTGTGTGAGGTTGTTTATGAAATTATTTGAACATGTGTGTCATATGAGTAACCGTGTTAACTCTTATTTAACATATGTCCCTTATTTAACTGAATCAGCCAACTATCTCATCAGTTAATAATGTGTAAGAGCAAGCTTGTGTGAGGTTGTTTATGAAATTATTTGAACATGTGTGTCATATGAGTAACCGTGTTAACTCTTATTTAACATATGTCCCTTATTTAACTAAATCAACCAACTATCTCATCAGTTAATAAACAATGACCTCCACAGTCATTATAATCCTACAAAAACTGTACATATAAAAATTAATATGACATCCTTAAAGTACCCATCCTATAAGATTTGATCAATATCGAGCAAAAAATTAAATGAGTGATGGGTTTAAACGAGTTAACTAGTGTGAAATTGATCTCCGAAAGACCATTCGATCGTAAAGGGAATAAAATTGAATTAGACGCGAAAGAGTAGCGGACCGTTATGACGCAGAGCATCCGTCACGCATGTTCGACGAGATCAGCGGAGTGTAGAGAGCTGGAATCGGAAGACGAACTGGATCGTTTCTATGGGAATCCACGGGCCGTGAAAACAGCAAACTTTTACGGTCGACTGTCCCCACGAAGGTAATGTATGCTCACCTTGCTCGTTACACTTGACATAAGCAGTTGCGAGCACGTGGAGGCACGAACGATCAGGGGACCATGAACGCTAATGCCTTTGCGAGCGAACGCATTTCCTGAACGCGTCGCCATCCTTCTTCCGAGGAACGAGTACAGTTACGCGACCGAAAGAGAGGATTTGACACATTCGTTTACATTGTCACAATTATTGATACAATGTCAAATATAATATTGTTAAGGTATTGACTTTCTTTGGTGCGCGTTATGGGAATTAACGATGACGCACAGCGTGCGTCATTACTCTGGTGCTGAGAAAAATCACAGAGGACTCCAATTTCAATATTCTAAAATTATAAAATATTAAGGCTTTGAAGTTTCAAGATTTCAAGGTTCTGAAATTTCAAATCTTTGGAAAATTGACGGTGACGCACCGGGTGCGTCATTACTCTGGTGCTGAGAAAAATCACAGAGGACTCCAATTTCAATATTCTAAAATTATAAAATATTGAGGCTTTGAAGTTTCAAAATTTCAAGGTTCTGAAATGTCAAGTCTTTGGAAAATTAACGGTGACGCACCAGGTGTGTCATGGCACTGGTGCTGAGAAAAATCACAGAGATCCAAAATTTGAATATTTCAAGATTCTAAAATATTGTGGCTTTGAAGTTTCAAAATTTCAAGGTTCTGAAATCTCAAGTCTTTGGAAAATTGACGGTGACGCACTTGGTGTGTCATGGCACTGGTGCTGAGAAAAATCACAGGGGTCCAAAATTTGAATATTTCAAGATTTTTAAATATTGAGGCTTTTAAGTTTCAAAATTTCAATATTCTGAAATCTCAAGTCTTTGGAAAATTGACGGCGACGCACCAGGTGTGTCATGACAGTGATGATCAAATTTATAACCTCTCAAAATTTCAAAGGACCGAAACTTTAATACTCTAAATTTTCTTAATCTTGAAGCTCGAAATCTATGATTAACGGTGAAAAATTACAAAATTCGCCTCAAATTGTTCTCATTCCAGCCCCATAATTTCTAGCTCGCTTTCTTGCGATCGAGGCTACCGGTTCACACCTCATTCATTTTTGCTCATCCACCCACTAAAATCACGAAGCAGCTCATTGACTCAACCTCACATATATAACCTTTCATTAATGATATCCTGGTTGCCTCCGAGAACAGGGAAGATATATTCCGAGTAATGGAAATGGGACGTGTGATGAGGTTCAAGGGAAGGAAAAAGTGGATGCGCACTGAATAATTCTTCTAATTTTATTCAAAAGCATAAAGCATATCGTTTGAAGTACGTATGCCACTACAAGGTGATTATGATTAAACGTATAAAAATAGCTCCTTTTGACAAGGAGGAGAATAGCTCCTTGTCAAAAGAAACTATTTTTAAAATACATTTTATTAAGCAGATCATCAGAAGCTACTCTACATTTCAAGTTTGATGCAATTTAAATTATGCAACATGTAAATTAACTCCATTGCAAAAATTTTGTACTTGAATTAAATTTTTCAAACTTTAAATTAAATTTTGTATTTGAAATTTCGTGTAACTCAATCTTTAACTCAGTCTTCAAATGTACATACAGGGTGTCTCACAAATAGTAGGTCCCTGAAATGAGGGGCAACTGACGTGATTCTGAATGACATCCCCTACCACCCCTTTCAGGGAGTAAATCTAGCTAGTAAAACTAGTTACGAGACACCCTATCATGGTGAGTTAGAATGATCTTTCATCAATTCCACATCTCTCCACAGCTGATCACATCAGCTATTTTTCACCCAAACAAAATTCTTCCCACTCCGTTTATTCTTCCTGTCCTCCGAGTTCTCATAGACATCAACAACCTCCCTAATCACGTGCTGACTGTACGGCTCAAATTCGTCGTTGTAGAAACCTCTGTAGGGTCTATGATGAAAATTCTGTTGCTCGAAGTGAGGGAAAGCTGCGACGGGCTGCTCTTGATTGTACGCGTAGAATCCATTTGGATAGGGTGCAGAGGCTGAGGAGAATAATGAATTCCAACCCAGGAGACCACTGATGAAGAGCGCTATCTTGGTTAGCAATAGCGCTTTCTTTGTGAGCAGCACTAGGAAGCCGAAGAGCAGGGGGATTAGTGCTGCTAGGTTGAATTTGAGTCCTAGGAGGAAGGGGATCAGTAGCTGTCTCATGAGTTGTCTTCCTGAAATTTGGTACAATTTTTTTGTTAATAAAAAGAATTATTACTGTTTTGGCAGCTTTGGATGTCAGGTGATGATTTTGTTAGCTGTGATATATAATATATGATACATGACATGTGATACATAATATGTGGTACATGATATGTGATACAGAATATGTGATACATGACATGTGACACATAATATGTGATGCATAATATGTGATACATAATATGTGATACATGATATGTGATACATAATATGTGATACATGATATGTGATACATAATATGTGATACATGATATGTGATACATAATATGTGATACATGATATGTGATACATAATATGTGATACATGATATGTGATACATAATATGTGATACATGATATGTGATACATAATATGTGATACATGATATGTGATACATAATATGTGATACATGATATGTGATACATAATATGTGATACATGATATGTGATACATAATATGTGATACATGATATGTGATACATAATATGTGATACATGATATGTGATACATAATATGTGATACATGATATGTGATACATAATATGTGATACATGATATGTGATACATAATATGTGATACATGATATGTGATACATAATATGTGATACATGATATGTGATACATAATATGTGATACATGATATGTGATACATAATATGTGATACATGATATGTGATACATAATATGTGATACATGATATGTGATACATAATATGTGATACATGATATGTGATACATAATATGTGATACATGATATGTGATACATAATATGTGATACATGATATGTGATACATAATATGTGATACATGATATGTGATACATAATATGTGATACATGATATGTGATACATAATATGTGATACATGATATGTGATACATAATATGTGATACATGATATGTGATACATAATATGTGATACATGATATGTGATACATAATATGTGATACATGATATGTGATACATAATATGTGATACATGATATGTGATACATAATATGTGATACATGATATGTGATACATAATATGTGATACATGATATGTGATACATAATATGTGATACATGATATGTGATACATAATATGTGATACATGATATGTGATACATAATATGTGATACATGATATGTGATACATAATATGTGATACATGATATGTGATACATAATATGTGATACATGATATGTGATACATAATATGTGATACATGATATGTGATACATAATATGTGATACATGATATGTGATACATAATATGTGATACATGATATGTGATACATAATATGTGATACATGATATGTGATACATAATATGTGATACATGATATGTGATACATAATATGTGATACATGATATGTGATACATAATATGTGATACATGATATGTGATACATAATATGTGATACATGATATGTGATACATAATATGTGATACATGATATGTGATACATAATATGTGATACATGATATGTGATACATAATATGTGATACATGATATGTGATACATAATATGTGATACATGATATGTGATACATAATATGTGATACATAATATATGATACATGACATGTGATACATAATATGTGATATATGATATGTGATACATAGGTAATTTGACTGTGATACATATTAGCAATATGACATATATTAGCTATAATTCAGTTGCTCATTTAAAAAGTCAAATTTGATAGATAATTAACTGATAATTCAACAGAAGGTTTGCACATAGTGTAGACACTTGATTTCAATCTTAACTTGCAAGATAATTTAGAGAATTTAATTTTAATTCAAATAGAAGCAACTTAAATTTCATCTAAAATTTGAACAGCAAAATAAGAAAGCTTGGAGATAGCTAACTGAAGAATTGCAGTATTTTATATAAATTAACTTGTAAGTTCTAAGGATCAGATTCAAAGTAACGTCGCCATTATTCTTCAGCAGTGGTCTTGACTGTGCTGCCTGCTGTAGGTGGTTGCTGAAAGCGCCTCGCAACGACTCAGCAAGGATACGAACCTCTGGTTCGTTTCTATGCTGACACTTTCTTCATAGTAACCTTCATGGTAATACCGTTTCATCTTCAAATTCTATCGATGTCATTCGAATTTTTAAGCGTTAGACTTTCCAAACTTGATTGGTATTATCCAAACTTTCTAATGCAGAACTATCACAAATATCTGTGCAGTAATAATCTGACTCAAGTGACCAAACTTTCTAGCGAAGTATTATGTATTGGGAAATATCATAACCCAAATCTGTGGAATAACAACGGTACTTTGGCTCAAATTAGTCCCACGTTTCTTAAAGACTCATATATTAAGACATTATCGAAATTTATGGAATAACAACGGTACTTTGACTCGAATTAGATACACGTTTCTTAATTATCGTGGTCTGAGAAATATGACCCTGATTTAAGATGTAACGATGTTCTGACTCAAATTAGGTACCTGAACTATGGGATGTATAAATGGACCAAAGTATTGACTACCATAATTGATATATTATTCACAATAAAAGACTATCATGTACCAAAGAGTGTCCAAAAGAAAAAGCTAATATTAAAGAATCAGAAGGGAAAGAATATCAAAGGATGTATCATATTTAACCGAAATTCTGGAAGTACCTAACCTAAATCATATCTAACCCTAATCCTTAAACTACCTAACTAAAATCTTGAAACTTCCTAGCACAAATTCTGAAACTACCTAATCTAAATCACATCTGATCCAAATCCTTGAACCTACTCCGAATCCTGAAACATCCTAACCCAAATGCTGAAACGATCTACCTCAAATCCTTAAACTACCTAGCCTACATTACATCTAGCCCAAATCCTCTACTTACCCCAAACCCTTAAGCTACCTAACTTAAATCACATCCAACCCAAATCCTCGAATTACCTAACTTAAATCCCGAAACTTCCTAACCCAAATCCTAAAACTACCTAACTTAAATCACATCCAGTCCAAATCCTCGAACTACCTACTTCAAATCCCGAAACTTCCTAACCCAAATCCTGGAACTACCTAACCTAAATCACATCTGACCCAAATCCTTGAAGCTACCCCGAATCCTGAAACATCCTAACCCAAATCCTGAAACGACTTACCCCACATGCTTAAACTACCTAGTCCAAATTACATCTAACCCAAATCTCCTAACTACCTATCCTAAACCCCGAAACGTCCTAACCGAAATCCTGAAACGACCTACCTCAAATCCTTAAACTACCTAGCCTAAATTACATCTAACCCAAATCCCCTACCTACCCCAAATCCTTAAACTACCTAACCTAAATCCTACAACTACCTAACCTAAATCACATCTGACTCAAATCCTTGAACCTACCCCAAACTCCGAAACGTCCTAACCCAAATCCTGAAACGTCCTAACCCAAATTCTGAAACGACTTACCACATGCTTAAACTACCTAGCCCAAATTACATCTAACCCAAATCCCCTAACTACCTACCCTAAATCCCGAAACGTCCTAACCCAAATCGTTCAACTACCTAACCCATATCCTCCAACTACCAAACCCAACCTTCAAACTCACCTGGACCCGCATGTCTGTCCGCAAAACCAGCCGACCTCTCATCAATCACAAACTCCAGCATCCCATTTCCATTCAGCATAGGACCCGCCCGCAACTGCAGCCCAGGATACACGTTATCCAGACTCCACTTCAAGCTCCTGCGTTCCATCAACCTGGTAGCCGCTTTCACGATATTCCCAAAGTCCTTCGGGTCATAATCCCAATCGAGAAGCTCTCTACCGTACCCATCGGCCCTCTCCAAATGCACCTCCCCAAAATCGAGATCATCTTCCTGGTTTAATAACTGAAGAGCACTCAGAGTGCCACGATTAACGCACTCCAAAGTGCCGAACTCTTTTCGTGCCAAACACGAGCCGAACGCCTCGTTGAACGTTGCTGGGTCATCGTTGTTCAATATGGGCTCCGTGGGCTCCATGATCACTGTCACACTCGTGGACACGAAAACTAGCAGGAAGAAGCTGCGCAACTCGCGTTTCATCGCAATGACGCACCAGCCTACGGCGGTTGGAAATAAAGCTGGGAAGATGGCCGGTGAAAGTTGATAAGGTTTTCGTGTGAACCGATGAAAGTTCTGAAAGAGAATCATTGATTCGGCGTGGGAACAGATACTTTGTGGGGCAAGTGTATGGCACACGTGTTCCATGTGATTTCATGGTACTAATTTATGAGCGTTCATATAAATATCGATATTAACGGGAATCTGATGAATATTGATAAGCTGAATATTAAATCAATTTTAGAAGAATTCGGAAATTTAGGTGTGAAGAGATGTCTGAAAGTTAAAAATAATCGACATATGCGAACTTGAAATTTTGAAAAGACGGAATTTTTAAGATGTGGAAAATATTGAAATTTAAGGATCTGGTTTCTCCCACTTTTGTCTTATCACATATGCACTTCCCATATCCTCAAACTTCCCATTTTCTTTCAACCCTCACCTAAAGAACCCTTAACCCAACTTCACGAAGCTCTCCCTCTCAACCCACAGCGAATACATTTTCAGCGAGATGAAGACCGAGTCCCAAAACAATACTGTTGATCTAGCAACCGCGATCGGCTATATATGCGTCCCGGGGCGTTCACACGCGACGAAACAATAGGAGCCAGCAGCGAAAGTACACTTCCTCTGTATTTCGTATACCCGATCCACCGGATGCACCCGGTCATCTTCATTAGCCGATCCCGGAGAATTAAGCTGTCAAAACATCGAGAAGAGAAACTCGAGGAAAGTACAAATTGAATGAACAAATACCGATGGTGTTAACTCGATTGAGAGACGGAGGATAGGAGATGTAGGACAAACAGTTTGTATAAAATTAAGATTTATTTATAAATAATTTGATAAGTTACATGGCAACCCCTTTGGGGCGGTATAAATAATCATTGGATGAAATCTGGTGGCCCTGTGCAGGTACTGACTACGAGTCCGGCCGCCCATAGACAGGAAATATAGACTTGGGTCCCAGATTAGGGAACTAGATTCCCAGAGGACCTGCTTTCAGCGTGGAATTCAGTCTCCTTTGGGAGACAATTTTTACTCTCTTTAATGTCTATATTTGACCGTCTATGGTTAGAGCCGGGAGATCGTTCGATCGAACGGTTACCGCACCGGTTGCTCAAGGTTGCGCGACTACCACCATTCACAGTCATAGTCCATTCTGTCCCGCGGTCACATTAAGGTCCATTTATACCCGATGGACATCTGCATATGGCGAACACGTCCACATCGACCCAGGTTCCCTGAGGCAATCAGTTGCACCGTAAATGGTATAAATGGTCCCTAAGCCTCACTGTTAAACTATCGTCACGGTTCGTCACGTAGGGTCACTAGTCACGTAAAGTTCGAAACGTCGGTCCAGTCGAGTCGCGCAGCCCTCGGTGATCGCCACCGGCTGAACGATCACTTTGGCGAACGAAGGTAGAATGTTGAAGAGGTGACACTGCCGAGATCTACTCGGATGGTTTGTACGCGTTGTACGCCAGATCGGAGGCCGATCTCGCCCAGCCGTGGTGGTCATGGTGCTCCTCGTGGCCGTACGAGTGGACGGGGTGAGCTACCACTTCGTAACTCTGGTGCTTGTTCGCCAGGAGCTTCTGAAGACCGATGATGGCGCTGATAACCAGGGCGATCTTGCCGATCACGAGAGCCTTCAACGCGAGGAGGGCCAGGGCACCGAGGGCGATGGGGATGAGGGCCGCAGCCTTCAGCTTCAGGAGCAGCAGGATCGGCAACAGGGACTTGACGATCTTCTTCTTCTTTCCTCGTGCTGTGACATTCGTATAATAACAAGTTAAAGGTCGTTTGACCTTAATTAAGCTAGAACTTGAATGACGAGTTTGATCTTCGAGTTCTTTACCTTCGTCAAAGGAGCGAGACACTTCTTCAGGCAGGCTCAGCTCGACGGTGTGGGTGGAGAGGAACTTTCCGGCTCTGTCCAGAATGGCGTTGTCGATCGCAGCCTCCTTGGCTTCGACCTCGGCTGGCAAGGTGCTCTCGATGTCGTTCAAAGACCTCCCGTTATCAGCGCGGCTGCAAATAAAATCCGCGTGATGCCCGAAGTCGATCACTTTCACCTCGATGCTTACCTGTTCTTAGCTTCCTCGGTCTGCACGATCTTGAACCCGTCGACGACCTCGATGTCCGCCGACCGGGCCGCTCTGTCCACGAAACGCAGCGCCTTCAGCTTCAGACACACCGTGATATCCTCTTCCCCGGAACAGGAGGAGTAAATGTCCAAAGCATCCTCGAGGATCGAGGGCTGATCCTGGGTCGCGGGCGCGGCCGAAACGGCAGCGACGATCGCTGCGATTACCACGTACTTGAACATCTTTTCAATGAACGGAATCTGCGGAACTTTGATCGATCCTCCCTTGTTACTCTGCGACGATCGTATCGACACTGGCCGAAAGAATCACGATTGCTGCCTTTTATCCTCGTCGCGAAAGGGGCCCGCGTACGTTTTTGAAATTTTGATGGCCCCCACCGGTTGGCCACCGCCTGCCGCTGGGTTACAACCCATACGAGCTATTGGTTCTCCTCCAGACGGTGCGTCCCGTGTTTCTCTGTCGTCTCCCGTTGACGCGCCTCCGCCGCGGTCCTCGGAGAGGAGAGGAGAGAGTGGACATCGGTGTGCGCACCGATCGCTCGCATCAACGGAGAGAGGAAAATTGACCCTCGCATATTAAGGGTTAGGGCTTCAGGTACTTATGGTCAAACATTTGTTCTTATTTTAATTCTCTAACTGAATTTATTATTTATTTCAATTTATTATTACTTGGACAGTGCTGTTTTGGGACCAGTGTATATAAAATTGGGACTAGGTATCTTTCAGAGATACTGTTGTCAGATACTCCACTTGATGTGGAACTGCTTGAGGTGCAAGAGTAACGTTGTTAATAGTAGTTGTATTAAATAGTAATATTAGTATGCAAGATACAGTAGATACATATTAGTCATTATTTTAATCTTGACGTTGTTCGTTTAACTATTCACAGATGAAACTATATGTAACATCTTTTAAGATACTGCAGTAAGATACTGTTGTCAGATACTCCACTTGATGTGGAGCTGCTTGAGGTGCAAGAGTGACGTTGTTAATAGTAGTAGTATTAAATAGTAATGTTAGTATGCAAGATACAGTAGATACATATTAATCATTATTTTAATCTTGACATTGTTCGTCTAACTATTCACAGATGAAACTATATGTAACATCTTTTAAGATACTGCAGTAAGATACTCCACTTGATGTGGAGCTGCTTGAGGTGCAAGAGTAACGTTGTTAATAGTAATTGTATTAAATAGTGAAATTAGTATGCAAGATACAATAGATACATATTAGTCATTATTTAAACCTTGACATTGTTCGTCTAATTATTCACAGATGAAACTATATGTAACATCTTTTAAAATCTCCAAAAGTGAGGTTAGGTGAGATACGAAAAATGAATTACAGCTTCAACCACATCGAGTAAAATCACATTTATTGTTTGACTAATTTGTACATGAATTATATTTATATCTTGAGGATAATTTTGTTGTGAGTACAATTGCATTAAGGCATGTGATATTTAGTTCCTTGTACAGTAATTTCGAAGGTTGAAATTGATAGACACGAGAGTAAAAAATTTCCATAGGTTCGGTTACTTTCTCGTTGTGGTACCATATTTGTTCCCGAAGAGAGACTCGCAAGGTGTATTTAGAAATCGAATATTCAGGGTCAATGATATTCACATTGAGAACTCGATCGTAATGGATTCGGCGTTGTCGCAAAATCGTTCTATAAATATCCCGTGGGTTGCTCTCCCGTTTACAATCCTTTCTCCCGAAATTAACACCGAAACTCAAAAGTAAAGAGTCCACGGTTTCGAAAGGCGTTAATTACATTTACAAAGAGCCTAATTTTCTGGGCTATAATAGTTTTTGTTCAAAGTTGTCCGCGAAGGACGATAACCGATTTCCCTTTCGACAAGCGAATAAGGCTTCGTATTATGCTTCGATCGACGCCTCCGCAACTTTCTTCGTCGCGGACCGCGACCTCCTATCTAGAGAGCTATTCGTAAAACTCGCATACCTTCGAAATTCTTGTTGTTTGAATTTCATTCGGGGCACGTCACGCCAGTCCATCCGAAATGCGATACTCTACGATTTGTTTCGATAACTGTTCATCAAGATATTTCGGAAGGAGGCAGTCACTTTGGTATTCAAATTGGGTAGAAAAAGTTTTCGTTCGGAATTTTATTCGCTCGAATTATGTGATGATGAGTATATTGGAGCAGGGACATTATTAAATCATTTGATGAATGAGATGATGCTGTTATCTGATTATTTGACTAACATGAGGTGCACTAATTACCTGACTTAACCTTGACTTTGTTAAAATTTAACTTTGAGTCTGCACTTAAAATTTTTACATTAAAATATACATTGCAGTATATACGTACATTATATGTTCTTCATGTGCACCTATATGTCCATATTTTCATGTTCATATGTTCGTACGTTTATATATTCATATGTTCATGTGCTCATATGTTCATATGTTCATATTACATTCATATGTCATATGTTCATATGATCATATGTTCGTATGTTCATATGTTCATATGTTCATATGTTGATATGTTCACATGTTCATTTATAAACATCATATAAAGAGTCACTTTTATTTGTGTCAATAAGGAAACAGCACATTTCAATAAAGTGTCAATTATCGAAATTCAAGCGTCTCATGATGAATAAAAAATGGCCGCCTGAGGCACCCTTCGGAATTCCAGGATTCTGCTCAGCCTCCCATTGATCGGGGCGTAGACAAACAGTAAAACCGTCTCTTCCGTCGAAATTAATGTATTCGTATATGTTGATATGTCATATTATGTTGATATGTTCATATGTTCATATTATGTTGATATGTTCATATGTTCATATTATGTTGATATGTTCATATGTTCATATTATGTTGATATGTTCATATGTTCATATTATGTTGATATGTTCATATGTTCATATTATGTGCATATGTTATATGTTCATATTATGTGCATATGTTATATGTTCATATTATGTTCATATGTTCATATGTTCGTATGTTTATGTGTTCATATGTTGATATGTTGATATGTTGATATGTTAATATGTTCACATGTTCATATGTTGATATGTTCATATGTTCATATTACGTTCATATGTCATATGTTCATATGTTCATATGTTCATATTACGTTCATATGTCATATGTTCGTATGTTCATGTGTTCATATGTTGATATGTTCACATGTTCATACGTTATATGTTCATATTATGTTCATACGTTATATGTTCATATTATGTTCATATGTTATATGTTCATATTATATTCATATGTCATATGTTCATATGTTCATATGTTCATATGTTCATATATTCACATGTTCATATGTTCTTTTATAAACATCATATAAAGAGTCACTTTTATTTGTGTCAATAAGGAAACAGCACATTTCAATAAAGTGTCAATTATCGAAATTCAAGCGTCTCATGATGAATAAAAAATGGCCGCCTGAGGCACCCTTCGGAATTCCAGGATTCTGCTCAGCCTCCCATTGATCGGGGCGTAGACAAACAGTAAAACCGTCTCTTCCGTCGAAATTAATGTATTCGTACGACAGTCGCGAGGAACGTTTAACGGTTTTTCATGGAATGTCCGTGGTGCTTGGACGAGTTGGGTTCGCGCCAGACCTCCTCAAGGAGAACAAGCCGCGCCTCGATGTGACCCCGAAGACGTCTCGCCTAGAAAAATATGAAGGAAAAGATGATAGCGTTATTTCCCGTCAAGCGAATAGGTTATTTCTCTACATTTATCAAATCACTCAAATTCAAATTTATTGAGGAAGCAGTTCTGTGTATTTGATTACAGGTACAAGATATTTGCTTTTGCAATTCTGTTGCTTTTGCAAACATATTTAGTTAGTTATACATTTATGGTTTGTATTGTACTTTGAACTAATTCACAGTAGTTTGAACTAATTCGTATTTGTCAAAGTATGGAGCTGTTATAGGTATGAATTAACTGTGTATCTACAGGTAGAACGATAATTTTGCTTTTACCTCAACTATCATCTACATCTCATAAATAAATAATAAAACCATTCAGAGTGCTTTTAAATTTGTACTAAATTAGAACATAACCTCGAAATGCAATGAACCTCATATTTGAAGACTTGAAGATCTTGAATGAACCTCGTAGAAAGCCATTTTACCTATGAATGGTACAACGTGCCTGGCACATGTCCAGTGCAGCTGCTACGCAATTACCATATAGCCATACTTAATTTCTAGCGTGTCAAGTTAATAATTCCCCACAAAGTGTGTCGACTCCGCTGCAAGGTCTGAGACGATTGAAATTCTAATACGGCAATTGACCGAAGAAAATCGTTGTCACAAGCTACGTGCGTCTACCGCGTAAATCGAAAGTGTCTGCTCTCGAGTATCAATGAAAAAGAACACGAAATAAAAGGAAGACGAACGCAGAATCGCCGACACGCGGAGGACTTTCACTCGATCTTGATCCGACCGACTAACGAACATCGATTTTGATCCTTCTTTTTGGCGTGACATCGACCGAATAATCGGGCATTCGTGTCACGAACGCGCGTGCAACACGTGACGGCTAGACGGATCGTATTCGAATGGGGATAACATTCATTTCATCTCTTTAAAAATATATTTCAGTATGTGATCTGATAAATGTGGTAGAAGTTACTTTTGTATGGGCAAGTGTTACTTTGACATAACTCGGTACAATCGCATTCATTGACATATGTGGATTCATATGTGGAAGAACGTACTAAGTCATTTTTGAAACTTTAGAGAATAGCAAACGAAAGATGTGAAGACACAAGATACGATAAGTACAAGATTATAGTCTCACTTAAAGTGACTTGAAACTAAATAATTTTGTGATGATAAACTATTGTAAGGAGAACTGAATTTCATAAGAAAGATGCAAGCTAACCTAACCTAACAGGAAGATGGCGCCAAACGAGAGATAAATATCCAAGTTTGCGTTCGTCAAGTTTTACAGACATTCTTGTTGAACTGTTGGACCAAAATACTAATTGTAGTTGTACAATGAAGCGCGTTCGAGTTTGTACGGTAATGGAACACTTTCCTCTCGACGACGCCGGCGAGAGTGAACTCGAAGGAAGATCGAGGTCAGGTCAAGGCCCCCATGGAGCAAAGCTTGAAGCTACTTCCTCGTCTTCTATACCTTGTATAGAGATCAAAATCCCTCTGTCGGTAATTTACTACATTTGTATTAGTTAAAGGAGCTGGGAAAAATGGCGGTTTTATGACTTGACGAGGGATTTGAGGTTACGGCTGTTACGTTGATAGAACTGTTTGAAGGATTTGAGGTTAAGTTAAATCAATAAAAAAAATATTTAATACTTAGTTACTCTTTTATTTTATACTACAATTAAGAAATAAATATCAGTTGATCTTCTGGTCATCTCGAACACGTTCAACAGGTTAATGGCAACTGGAAATTGGAAAAAGTGCTATCTGTTTTCTCCTAATTATGGCACACCCAACTTTCATTATTCATCGTATAGAAAAGTCCATTAATGTTAACGGTTTCATGAATGGACCCCTCGTTCTAAGATAAGACTTGTAAATGATAGAAATCAAGAATATAAAGATGTCTAAATCTGAAAGTCTAGAAATTTGAAAATCCGCTTGCACTTTTCACTTGCAGCTTTCAGATCTACAACCCATAACGCTTTCACGCGAAGTCCACAAAAAATCCACGAGATCTAACATCCACGTGTCAAACTCCACGAGTCGAAATCGGGAACACTCGCTGAAAACCCGTAGTTCGGAGCCGATTACCATTAATTACGGAGTCCCGGTTCCACTTGAAGTCGACCCACTTCCGAGCAGCTTCCAAACTCTATCAAATCATAGTTCGAAGCGTTGTTCGATAGAAAAAAGGAGGCGACTTTCGGAAGTCTCTAGAAGGGCGGAGAATCGTTCGGAACGGGACCACCTGACCCAAGATGAGGATCGATGAACCTCCAGGTGGAAGGGAGATCAGGAGGAGGGGAAGACAGCTTTTTCTCCGGAACGGTAGAGAGTGTTAGGCGCAGCTTGAAAAGGCTGAGCGCGGATGCTGACTGGCCTGGCCGGCTCGGCCTGGTTTACTTCCTGATGTGTCTGATCCGTGTGTGTGCGTCGCACACGCGGTTAAGCTTCCAGGCAAGTGCGTAAGGTGTTCGTGCGTTTCCAGTATGTAGGTAACGCGACTCGGAAGGCGGAAGTGCTCTCCTGGCCTGCATCGACCGATAATCGTTCGAAATTTTCTAATTCCGTTACTTTCGATGAAGCTGTAATATGGAGGGGTAGAAAAACGCGCAGGCTGATACAAACGTGTCTTAATATATTTTCGTATCTATAAATATACATAAGCTGGCTCGCAGCTGGGCGCTGAACAATAAATACTGAGGATGATATCGAGCGAGAGAGCCGGGCGTCGAAAGGGAGGATGAAGACGATCGAGGAGGAAAGCGACGCCCGACGCTTCGTGAAAGCGAAGTCTAATGAGATTGAAACGTGCCTTTGTTTCTCTAGGTAGACGCCGGCTTGTAAGCCGAATAGGCGAGGTCGTGACTCGATCTCGCCCACCCGCTCGATCCGTGCCCGCCGGCGACCTGGACGACCTCGTGTCCCCC